GTTTTGGAAAAGGTATATTGATTCACCGAAAGTTTAAAAACGTACATTTGTGCACCTTTTGCAATGCCATAGTAGATGTTCTCTCGTTGCTGCGAGAGGGGACCTACGGCATTTAGTAATCAAAATGCAGAGCTGCTGTCAATACTTCAAAAAATTCACAAAAAGGCAGCTTTCTATCTCATTACAACAAGAGAAAATCAAATGCTCTTCAACTTTTTCATAGTCCTTTTCCCCAAGAAAGATTAGTGAGATTTGAGCTTGACATCACTTCTTGCTGGACAGTCGGCCGCGCTATGAACAAGTTTGTGCTGACCTCTTGCCAGCTTGGCACGAGCGGGCACCAGGGAAATTTTAAAATGAAGTCTCCTTTGATCTTGAAAATTTCGTACGAAGTTTCCTTTGACCCTAAACCCTAAACGTAAAAAAACCCTGAAAAACGCTAAAAAATGTCACAATTTCGGCCCACAAAAACAACATCCCCTTCGCTTTCTGTTCCAAAAACGATTTCGAGTTTAACCCGGTGCCAGCTGTGCGAGCCCTGCCTCTTGCATCTGAATATGTGAAGTAGAGTACTATTGATACTTGTCCGTGTGTAAGACCAAGCGAGGGTATAGTAGTTAGAATGTAAAACAATCTGACAAGGGAAGGACATTGGTCGAAGAAGGCTTTCCACATGTAATGCTTATCATTCTACTGGTGTTAAACCAATAACAACAAATCCGTGTTCCTTAGCTGCTCAATGATCCTTTGGGAAAAGGCTACGAGCAATCATTGCTCAGGATGACCATCGCTACATTATGCTAGCGCCGCACGAGTAATGTGCAGCTGTGGACGGATGACCGCGTAGGTATCTGTGGAGGCTATGGAACAGGTCGTCAAGAGTTGGGATCCTTTCTCAACGCCATCCTCCATAACTTGGTTTGTGGATGACCTTCAAAGACCATGCCGCAGCGCTGTGAACTGTGCTAGACGGAAAACTTGTAACGTAAAAATGTAACGAACATTTTCCCTGGCGCAACCTCAAAAATAAAATTGCTAGATGTGCATACCTTCCTCACTTTTGAAGCCATGACAAATGTCTGCCTCGCACGTTATGGCTCACAATGTTGTTGGCTGTGACTCCCTAGGGATTCAGTCCAGAAAAAATCCTCCACTCATTTACGCACAATACTGTTCACATATGTTCGAAGATTTTCTCTATTCGTGCCTACCTTGACAGTCATCAGGAAAAATTGAAATCCACATCTAATACTGTTTTCCAATGGGTGTTTGTGAATGTAGACTGGTTCAGATGTTTTATATTGGTATGCTTTGAACGTTTTGTTACGTAGTACCACACATGTTCATAAACATTCAATTTCAAAAAAGAAACATTTCAAGAAAGTTTGCGATTACTTCAGCGTATTGAACGAGCTATTGAGGGCTTTTCTTTGCCATTAGGGATACATACCGAACAACTTGCAAAAATGCAGAAATGTCGGCCGGATGAAAGATTCGAACTCTTGACCAATCGTTCCTTAGTCCCCTCAACTATTTACTCAACAGGGAACGATACTTGCTAACCCCGACCATCCATAAGTTTGTGTATCAAAAAAAGCGACCTTCAATGCTGGTTCGAGTACTGTTTTCCATATTTGCGAAACGAGAACCTGAATGGAGTAATATTTATTCTCTCAAAAATGAATTGCGCTACTGCGGAGGGTAGAAATCATTGATAAAAATTTTGCTTTCCTCTTTAAATGCTAAATATGATTTAGATAGGTATAAATACAAGTTACACCTTTCAAGATTCTCCTCAATAGCTTCAAACGGTAAAATAGATCAAATTGGATGATTTTAACTACCTAAAAATACGCAAATTTTCTACGAAAAAAAGTTCATGGATGCGTTCATATGATCGTCGCAGATTTCGAGCACAGATTTAGAATCAGCGTTTCTAGGTGCACCTTATGGTATACCTCGAATTCCAAATGGCCGGGGTCGCCAAGTATCTTTTCCTTGTTAGTCAACCGTCCATGCTTGTACAGTATTTGGCGGCATAGCATAATGTGCGCAATGGTCGTCCTAGGAGGTCGCTCACAATTTCCCAGAGGATCTTTGAGCTGCTGAGGAACACGGATTTGGTGTTAATGGTCCAAGACCAGTAGAATGATATGCATCACATATGAAACACTTCGACCAACGGTCCTTCAGTGAGATAGAAAAATCCTACATTCACACTTGCTTTTAATGTAGAATGCATTCATCCAACTTCAGCTAAACATACACAAAAATCCGTTAAGAACTTCCTATCTCTTTGATAAGCATTATACTAAACTACCATTATACTTCTACTGTGTTCCATTGAACATTTGCTGCATTCTTTCGTGGGTCATATACGCAGTTGTGTACAAAAAAACCTTCATTACAACTAATTATTCATGCCCGGTTCGCGACATGCGTTCGCCATACTATCTCGATATAGACGTATTATGACTCAAAAGCATTCAACTCAGCATGCACATCTTTTAATATACAAAAGTTGCTTTGATAAGCGCACAGTAGGTAGTTAGTTCTCAAGATTTGGGGCTTTTTTTTGCTTACGGTAGTCCAGTGCGTGCTAATTTATTCATTAGTTGCTGCTGAAGGTGGGTGCCAACCGTGCACCTACAGTACCCAGGCAGGTACACCCAAGATCTTATATATAAAGCTGAATGTCTGTTTGGCTGTCTGTCTGTATGTCTGTACGTATGTTCCGAACAGAAAATTCCATTTCTGAACCGACCGATCCGGATCAAACTTGGCACACATACATTTCGGGGCCGGGCAGGTGTCATAGGCCACTTTTCGTCATCGTTCGATATCGATTTTACCGATTTTTTTGCAAAGTTTGACTTGCGGGGCTGGAAATTGGCACAGAGGGGTAATCGAGCATGCTGATAACGAATACAACATTACTTTCGGAATTATTCATTAGTTTTATCGATTTTATCGATTTTTTTGCAAAGTTTGAGCTAAGGGGCTGGGAATTCGCACGGGGATAAGTGAGCATGCTGATTACTAACACAGAGGGAATAGGGATTTGCATGTAGAAGTGGGCACAAGGAAAGGTTGTGGAAGGCGATGGAACTTTATCAAAGTGTTTTGACAGGGCCGGGCGGAGCCGGGTAAGCCAGCTAGTACTTCTATAAATTAGAATATGTGCGCCGTCAAGCATAAAGGCAGCGGCTCGGCAGAACGACAAATTTGAGATATTCATCGTTCTGGTCCCCCTAGACGAGCTACGTCCAAGACTGTGTCTTGCAGCTTCAAAAGATCTCAATAACCCGCTTCAACGTAAGAAGTGCTATTTGGGCGGACCGCGTATCCTGCTCTCTAGAGCGCGAGTCTTGTTGTGAGTGGAGACACCGTACCTACCGTACCTACGAGCCAATCGCGCCAGAGGGCAGGCATACGCCGTCCGCCCAAATAGCATTTTTCACTTCTGGAGAAGCAGATTATCTATATCTTTTGAAGCTGCAAAGCACAGTCTTGGCTCAGCTCATCCAGAACCGAGAACGATGAATATTCTTCCAAATTTGTCATTCTGCCGAGCCGCTGCCTTCGGATGGTACTGCATCAGAATTCGTTCACATTGAAGTGAGATGTGGCGACGTAAATGTCGCAAACTTGGTGACAGTCTCGTCTTTTTTTTCACAAATTATGGCGGTACTGTAAATCGGTCATGGTACGTGACGTGGTCGTTCTATCCCATGACTAGCATTTGTTGTCAACTTCAAATAATCCAATGTTAATTACCAATATAGGTACAAAATCGTAAAATCTGCATTAGCATCCAAGAAGTTTTGATTATAATGTTTACTGCCATGAATCCCCAATGTATGATTTATTACAAATTTGCTGTGCATTCTCACAGTGGCGGGAAATGTTTAGCATTATGTTTTGTTTTCTTTATCTTTATGTTTTGGGAAAAGCAAGAATACTCAAAGGGAGAGCCGAGGGAGTCGGGGGGGGGGGGGGGGCAGCACGTAAGATAGGCAAGCTAGCCTCCTCCCTTAGGTGAGGAGCCCGGTAAGATATCAAGGTAAGGTAATTTTTGAATCGTGACCTAACATACTGTGTGAAACAACTCTTGTTTTCATCGGTCACCGTTTGATCTCAATTACTGTAGTTTCTTGCCAACTTCAAGAATGTCTTCCGACGGTTTCCTCGTTGCTATCCGTTATCTGACTTTTATAACTTGAAAAACTTAGGAGGCATGCGTACAAAACATGAGAAGCCATCTGCACAATTTCATTGCTCGCATAATACTCGCATGAATTTTGCGAACCGTTTGGAGAGGCACTTTTTTTGAAGGGGGGGGGGTCACCGGAAAGGTTTGATGAAGTCAGAGATAGATGTGCTTTACATTCATGGGCTTAGTAGATGCGCATGAGAAAATAACAAATGCATCACTGCACATGAATTTTCGCCCCTTCGAAGGCTTGCTTGGAACGCGAATACGAATTTTTCATCCCATCTTGGTCTTCTTGATTCGCTGAGTCCATGAATGTGCTTAGAATTTCTCGAATTTGTCAAAAAGTGCTTTTGATGGCGTCCTCCGGCCTTGGAGATTACTGAAGTGGCTGGACGAGCGATTCCCACCAACTGAGTTGTGACTGGCTGCCTGAGACAACCAGCCAGTTGCCGCCAAGATGGTGGACTGACTCCACCCCTATACAGTCTCCTGCAGTCAGTCGCTGTTTTGGCGGGAATCTCTCCTCCAGCGCGCCATAAACCTACCTTTTGACAACTTTGAGAGATTCTAAGAAGAACAATACTGGACTCAGCGCATTCAGAAGGCCATGGAGATTAACCCGCAGCCTTAACTTTCTCGAGCCACTGCTTTTGAGTGCGCATAAAATTGTGTGAGGGCTTCCACTGGCTGTCGGCACTTATGAACTGCTTGATGTGGTACGAAGGATACCTTAGAAGTTGCCTCGTTATTGCTTTGCAATCTCAGTAATCATATTTGCTTGTAGGTCATCACTTCCCGTGCAAAGTGCTCCAGATGCCCCCTATATTAGAGGCTTCAGCACGGTTTCTGGTTTCGCTAGGGGAATGTACATATATTTTGTTGGCTCAGCTGTTCAACCCTACGAACCTTTCATTAACTCTAATCTGGGAAACGAAAACCGCACTATCACTAAAATAACCAGGTTCGTCTCATAAAATGCCCGTCATCGAAAATCTGGATGCAAAGGTCTCATAAGTTTTTTCAGGATATGTTCCTCTGATCTCACTTCACAATTAGAATCTCGCATAGATCTTGCCATTGATTGTGGATTCGGAGGTGAGTCTGTTTTTGGGAGCTGTCAAAAATTTTGCTGTAATTCTGAGCTATCTTCGATGTAACCTATCATGCATGGTCAGAAGAATACTTCACTTGATCTTTATTTCTAAAGTATAGAAGTACTTATATCAGCTTACCAATTTTTTGAGACGTCAACAAACGGGTAGAAGCTTCGTACTATGATGCTGTTCATGACCAAATTACTGTGGTTCTGAAAAATGATAATCATAATGTGAGTTTATGTTTTATTCTCATTGTTCTACTGGGTGTATGCGGAAATTACACACTTCAGTGGAGTATATGTGCGTTTTCCATGACAGATGTAGAGGAACGTTTCAACAGGGATTGGGATTTATGTCAAAAAACCACAAATCGAGATAGTGCAATGGTAAGTAAATGAGTAACCGATTTTTGTTATGCATCTAGAACATTCTTGACATCATATCCCGCGATCTCTGGTCGGGTGATGTTACCGTTGCAAAAAGTAAAACACCGAGCGCCAGATAGAGCGATGGGCGCTCGTTTATTATGTTAAAACAGCGGCCGATCAGATTGCGAGATTTATAAGTATTGCTTATGGTTAAAATAGTTATCTGAGTCAACCTTCATTTGTAAATAGTTGCACATTGTTTTTGTCCTTACGCTTACAAAATCATTGGATAACAATATTACGTATTTGATTCAGAACTGCCAAACAGCTGTAAGCGCTGCAGATCTTGACGATCAGTGTTACATATTTACTAGGAAAGCAGATGCATTCAGAATGCAAACATGCATCCGTTTCGGACAGGTGATGCCGTCTTCATTGTGGATCGAAGGTTCAGTACTGTAATGTTTACGTATTCAGGATGTGCACCGCATATATGATAACTGCAATTTACATCAGCATGAAGAAAATTCTTATCGTTATGGATGGCTGGAGGATTTTCGTCCGCTTGTGGGAACTCCGATAGCAAGGTGTGTTCATGCAAATATGTCATGACTCTCATAAATCTCGATAATAGGCTTCGCTCTATGTTTTTTTTTTCAAAATCGAATTAATACAACTCAGGAACTGTGAACAGCTGCCAGCTTTTTGCAAATAAACTGTCAGTAAGAGGCCGTACCTTTACGCTCACAGAAATGAGCGAGTTTGGCGATTGCGGTTCTTCAAGAGAGTTCGCTGGCCGCGACAACTCATGTTGAGGTGTCGATGAAATTTCGAATGTGGACATTTCTATCACATGCATTAGTTGATTTTTCAAAAAAAAGGCCATCATTCGCGCATGAACTCTGGCTAGAAAAGCAAGTGCAATAAAGTTCTGGTTTTGAATGCGGTTATTTGAGACTCTGTAAATTTTTAACGAATGAAGTTAGAAGACTCTCGACCATCATTAGATAGAGCATAGACCTTTGTAATGTCTTGAAACATGGTCAAGAAAAACGCTTATATATTTTTGCACCAACCTAATACGATCTGGCACTTCCAACAACTCGAAGAAGTCGAATGCGTCAAATTTGGAGGGCATCTGATAACTAAGCAGCAAGCCTTTGAATATGACGAGACATAGTGGTAATCCACAATGCTAAGTATGTACGAACATCAAATTTGTTCGTTGCTATGATAAAAAATCAATTCTACCTATAGAAAGAGTTTTCATATGGATCCGGTATCATTTTTTATAACTAGCATGTCGAATACTTCCCCTAGGCCTATTTATGGCAAAATTTGAAGCAAACTAGAGCTTTTCCTCCTGTGCCGTTCACCTACCGTAGCCTTTGATTTCGATGGCAAACGACAAAAATGGCTGCATATGTATTTTCATAATCTTTATAGCACCAAAATCATCAAATCACATAGAAAAGACAAAAGGTGTACAATTTATAAGTTTTGGGACATATTGTATATATGAAATAGGTTCCTCCAGACCTTGTCAGATGATTGCTCTTGCCGTTTTTAGTGTGACTGCTAATATTGAGCGAGTGGTATCTGTTTTACCAGATTTTGAAAACGAGGCGCTGTTTATCGGTGGTTTCAGTGGATCATCGATGTTATTGTTGAGGGTATGTAGATTAGATACTATGCAAATTATGCTCTTGGACTTCTCAGTGCTTGTGTTATAGGTATCATGGCAGCCAGATGGCTTGCCTTTACATTCTCGGATTTTTTGGAAGAGAAGAAGCTTCCCATCTTCACGTTTTCCCATGTGTTTGGACAGCAACGAAAAGACCCTTTTTATGCTGAATTCAACAACGGTAATTGCTTACAGTTTTCATTGTTGCTTGTTTTTGTTGAAAAGGACCATACTTACTGATAATTCAGGTTATTCGTAATCAAATAAGTTGTGCTGGTTTATATAGCACTTGTGAAGACTTGGCAGAAGGTGGGTATCTGATTTATTATGTAACTTTTAGCATGGATTCAAGTAAACAACTCAATTTCAGTTGTTATCAATTTCAGGCGGCTGGCAAGATCCTTTGTCATGTATCTGGTGTCCAGATGAGCACAGACTAGCAGTGACGTCTTCATATGACAAACTTGGATGCCTACATCCAATCACGAAAACCTGTCCACCCCTTATTGATCATGTTTGTTTTTTTTTTCAAGATTTTCAGAGCTATGAAACTATTACGAACCATTCTGTACAAAAGTCACGCTATCCAAATAAGCGAAAGCGAGAGCATTCGTATAAAATTACTTCCTTTGATAGTAGATATGACCTTTTCTTACTGGCTTCCAACTTCGCACACTTGTATAAAGCGTTGCGGCGGATAGTGTCTTAAACGTCCCAGAAGTGAATGCAGAAGTGAATTCTATTTGTCATTTTTTGGTAGGAATAGCTAAGCCGTCATTAGAGGCTAGATATCATCAATTATAGGCTGCTACATGACGAATACGCAGTACCTTTTGTCGCGAACGCGGTTCCATTAGCCGTAGAGCGCATAGGGCGCAGCATTTACAACGGCAAAATACGCACGCGCAGCGTTCGCGCACGCTCAACTAATACTGCTTCTGCGCCTTCGTCATGCAGCCGCCTTTACCTTGATCGGTGCCCAATATAGCTCATTCAGCTTTCGCTTATATAAGCTCAGAATCGGCAAGATTATAAAAGAACGATTAAGGCAAACCGAAATGAACACGCAGAATGGGAAATCTTTGGTTCGAATATGGATAGAATGCAAGATATCGAAGTTTACGTTTGCGAAGAAAAGTGCCAAGTCAACCGACAGCTATCGAGCAGCACCAAGTATGTTATGTGACAAAGCCACCTACAATAAAACATAATTTTGTTGTAAAGGTTGCTATGTTCACTGCCTGAGGATTCGGATCAAGACGCAGCTTGCAATGTTCGGGTCGTAGGACGTTTAGAGGGCTATAATGCATTTACTCTCGAAGTGAAGAAGACGACCCATAGTGTGGCATTGATGACGGAACGCTCTTCAAGCTCACGGTTCATATTATAAAACAGCGTTGAATATTTTAAAAAATTTCGATCACATTGCAGAACATGGAAGGAAATCGTCGCAGTAGTCGTTGTTGTTATCATTCTAGCAGTGCTGGGAGTGATCATCTGCTTGGCAAGGAAGAAGATGAGGGTAATATTCATTGAGTTCTGCATCATAGCTACTATTATAATCTTTCCAGAAGAAGGGAAGTACAATGGAGATATCTAATAGCAATGTTTACGATGATGGTATAGAACGTAAGTTCTACATTTCTGGTTTAACAAAAGTAGCTTAGTTCTTTTTACAGGTTATTTGAGTAAACTTGAGCACAATCTGGTGGATTTCGTTTCTCCATACGAGCAAATGTTTAGGTTTGTATTTTTCTAATTGCTGTCGGATCCATATGAATAGTGCGGTTCTTAATCTCTTAAGGGCAGCTTCCAGGCAAATCTGGGCCTATGATCTCACGTGGAGGGTAGTCTTGGAGCGCTAACTAAAACACTGGCCAAGCGGCAGCTCAAATGATGAGCTCAAAGTTGAGCTATTCGCTTCCAAACTGGACTCCGGGATCGTATGCGCATGGATTCTTGGCGTGACAAATTAGTTTCGCGCGCATACGATCCCGGGGTGTTTGGAGGCGAATATCTCAACTGTGAGCTCCCCACTTGGCTGCCGCTTGGGCAGTGTCTTAGTTAGGGCCTCAAGATTACTTCGAACGTCAGAACCCTGTATGCCCAGATTTGCCTGGACGCTGCCTCTAAGGTTTAGATGAGATTCCAAATTTTTTATACAGAACTATGCGAGGGCTTTCAGGGACATAGATAATCGATTGAAGATAGATTTTTCGTCTCTGCATATCGAAGAAGAAATAGGCAGAGGTTTGTCATTTTAGTGCCTGTTTTTTTTTTCTCTCAAAGTGATTTTACTTCTTCGGATTTTGAACAATCTGGTAACATAAACAAATCAGGAAAAGCACAATATCGAGTGTATGATTCAGGTCATTTCGGTATCGTCAGTCGCGCCACATACATAGCTCCTGATGGAACAACAAAGAAAGTTGCTTGCAAGATTCTAAAGCAAACTGCGGGAATAGGAGATTTCATCACAGAAGGTAAAAATAAGATCATCATACCTTTCTGAAATGTGTGGTTTTAGGGATAACTATGGGACGGTTCAATCATCCCAATCTAATGCAGTTGGTAGGGATTGCTTTTACCGATGGGAAGATTCCAGTAATTGTTACGGATTACATGGAAAACGGTGACCTTCGTACCTATCTTCGAGATGATTCGAAGGTATGAACCTTAACTTTAGGAGGAAATTTCATAGTTCGTCACGTTTTTCGGTTCTGAGTTACAACAAATTTCAACAGCAATGTAAGTTAGTGCTAGTGGTGGATGCTGATGATTTCAGGTAATCACATTGCGAAGTCTGCTACGCTTTGCATGCCAGATTGCTCAAGGAATGGAGCATCTGCATAGTTGCAGATCCGTTCACTGTGATTTAGCCGCAAGAAACTGCATGTAAGTCCCATCTCTCTTGTTCATCCGGCAATAATCATTCCTGTTATCTTGTTCTGTGGTAGAAGACATTCGTACGAAGAGTTGTTTTCTGCGACGTATCGCTGCCAATACTGAATGAGGATCAATTTTAGGCTGGACAATGATTTAAACATAAAAATTGGCGATTTTGGTCTTTGCCGAAGAGTCAGCGACGACAGCGAAGCTTACGAGCCTTCTAACAAACATCGGGATGTGCCTTTCCCTTGGATGGCTCCGGAAGCCATAATCAGCGAAACGGTACATTTATGATGATCTTAGTAACTCTAAATTCCACTGTGTTCTGATAAAGTGTGATTTGCCCAGATTCAAAGTTATTTACATGATTTTGTAACGCTGAAATCTCACATTTCTGTTCAAACTAGATATTTATTTCCATATATTGGTAGCTTTATAAAGGCGTAATTAATTTATTCTAGTTCACATTCCAAAATGATGTTTGGGCCTATGGCATTGTGCTGTGGGAACTGACTACTCGTGGATTGACACCATATGGAGGAAAAAAAGGGATCGAGATAATCGAATTTCTACGAGCAAATAGGAGATTACAGATGCCTGAATACTGTCCCGCCCAATTGTGAGTACTCATTGCTCTTAGTGCTCTATGTTTATACTAATTGCGCTGTTAAAAGAATTCCCCGCCTGCTTTGCAATGTTGTGACTGCATAGTTTATTCTGTTTATTTATTTAGTGCATTCTAGATTCGAAAACAGCATAGTATATGTCGTGAAGTGCTGAAAGTTAGTGTTGAAAAGATTCGAACGTTTGAAGAAATAAAACAGCTAATTGTTACAAGAACGGAATTCATGTGTCACTTAGCTGTCGTTCATATAAAAGGCGAATAATTCGGAACTGTAGACTAAATCCGTTGTAAAGTCGCCTGCACGAAATCGCCCGGGTTGCTGTAGGCTGAAAGCACGCGAGCGTGCCTGCAACGCGGCTATCCAGCACGGGCGCCATGATGACTCATGCGCGCGAACGCCATTCTTAGCGCGCAAGACACACGCGTGTGGGAGCTCAGTCCGGGCGATTCTGTGCAGTCAACTATACTGATGTAGTAGGATACAGCTTAACACTTGGAACCCATCAAAATGTATGTCATATCTTTTCCTATCAGGTATCATGAGATCATGCTGCCCTGTTGGCATGCCGATCCACAAAAGCGACCTACTTTTGCGGAACTCGTGGTCTCATTGAATAGGCTTGTAGATTCGATGGAGACTAATCAGTCTCAGGAACTGTGTAGTAATTACGAGAAGGTTGGTTTTTCTTTTATAATCGTTGAAGCAGTTTGTTTTTTATTGATGTCATAGTCACAGCTTGCAGATATCAGTACTTCGTAGTGACTCAGCCTTTGGAATTCAAGGATTCGTTAACAGCTAGTGCTTTTTATTTGTTAGTGTATATATCACTGTTTTACACACTTTGTATGAAGAAAGCCAAAAAATGTATTTTGTATGTATAATTTGTGCTTGTGATATCTAGTTCTATGAAGCTGGCATTTTTATACATGTGGTCAAGGCTGTTGTAGAGCCCCTGCGTTATCATTGCCTTTCAAGTGTGCAAGTCATTGTGTGATGTGTTTTGCTATTGCCAAATCTTGTGTAGTCAATTATGGGTTCTGAGACAATGGTGAAGATGGTGCCTTGCTTTTTCTTCCTAGTTTTATTAACAACGAACTGCATCATATTGCTCTATTGTTGTATCTATGCAATGAAGCTTAGCTTGATTTATTCATTCTTTGTTCAACAACATATGTCAAATAGTGGTTCTGTGCTTGCCTATTATGGCCTTGACAGCACCTTATCTGAGTCTAATTTACTCACGAAGGCAAGGTCTCCGGCGCTCAGATAGATTTTTTGCTGTGTAATTTATTTAGGTGCAGTGGAGGAATGTAATAAAACACGTAAGATGGAACTATAGGCTGTACAGTCTGTTCCAATCGGAGTCAGACCTAACCGTCGGCTGAATTTGCGCGCCCGCAGCACTAGGGTTTTGCGCTGCATACGCGCTGTCGCAGAGAGCGAAGAGATTGAAGAGAGAGCAGACTAGCTAGACATAGATGTGACGCAATACACTCGCGACACGGATTCCCGCCACGCTAATCTTGAGCTGGCTGGAATTGGGACAGGCTGTATCACCCATTATCGGTCGCAGGAACCCACGAAGTGAGGCTGCGCGCATGCGCTTGCATGCGGCGGAACGGTAATCGAACGCAAAGGCTAGCCTTTTGTTCAGGCAATCATCATTCCACTTGCTAAACATTCAAACTGGTGTTCTTTCTCAATTACATGAAGCATTTCAGATGACCGCATGACAATGACACGATGAGTATTCGAGTAGGAAATGTAGAGGCTATTGCATGACGAAGGCGCAGGAGCAGTACTAGTTAAGCGGGCGCGAACGCGACGCGCGCGTATCCTCACGTTGTAGAACCCGCGCCTCATGCGCTCTGCGGTTAAGAAAGCCGCTTCGCATCCATAGATATTGCGCCTTCGTCATGCAGCAGCGGCCTATATGGTTTCATGGTAAGCTTAGAAGTTGCCATCCGCTTTGAAACTAAAATCGCAAACGATATGCGCAAATATAATCAGTACTTACTGGAGAAGAACCACGACCGACACTCCGCTACACCAGATGCGGAGAGCCGGTTCAGTTCCCAGCTAGGTCCGGTGAAGTCAAAGAGGAAACATTGTACTCTTTTCTAGCTTAAAAGGCACCAGGTTACAATCGGGACGACGACAGCCGCGGGATGCACTCAATCCGCTACGCGCGGGCTGGTACAGCTATACTATGCCTACAAATAACAGCATCTTATCAATAGAAATGAGGAACAGGGCATTCGGCTGTACATTGCAGTTCAACACCCAGAGTCACTCTCACGTTACAATTTGATTCGATCGGATTACTGGATTGGCGGCTGGAAGGCGGGGCTTCGTGACCTAGTCAAGGTTAGAGGGTGATCAGCGAGCACGAGCGCGAGAAAGACGCAGACTGCGTTGCGGGCGCGAGCGGCCATAATTGGGTCACAAAGCCCCGCCTTCCAGTTGTCAATCCAGTTGAATCAAAGGTTACGTTGAGGCGGCGAATCACGGTGGGATACCATAGTGGCAACAAGTCATGAAGATGGGTTCAATCTTAACGTGCGAACAGCAAGAATCGCCTATGAAAAGAAGTAAATAGAAGGAAGGAGGCTCACCACTTTTTCGCAGAATTATTCTCGGCTCTCTCTTCCCTTACTGAAAAAAAGGACAATGGCTTATTACAACTTGGAATACGACACATATGTTCAGAAAGCTTGAAGCGCTGAGTCATGTTTGCTATATCTATTCACGAACCGTTTTACAGTCTGCCCCAATCCCAATCAGGCCAAAATTGGCATGACGGGAGTCCGCGTCGCTAGGGTTTCGCGGTCACGCCCACGGCCTGCTTGTCTGCTCCCTCTTCGATCTCATCGCTCTCTCTGCAGCGCAAATATTTAGCGCTGCGAGCGCCCATATCCACGCCGTCGGTTCGGCCTGATCCCGATTGGGGCAGACTGTATGTGCCTTTGTGATGCGTTAATTGACTTGAAAGCCAGCTTGTAAAGCTATAAAGTCTCCAATATAAATTAATCTATAGTCTCTCCTGCCAAAAAAATGCCGAAATTCTTATACTAAATCTTCTGACGTAAACGATGGACTTAACGCTATTGCGTTAACCTCAAGACCACTCAAGTTGATTGAACTTGTTGATACTTTGTAACTCGTCTTTCAAGGTTGACAAGGACATACACATACACATACAACGTTGCAATTACTAGTATAAAATTCTTTTACAAATTTTTTTTCCAACTGGAAGTCAGTGATCAACACTTTTTGACATCTGCATGATACGATTAAGTATGCCAATTATGCTTTTTTCTTCTATTTGCCCGATGCATATCACTCAAATATTATGAAGACTTCAACTCAATGTCTTGCTCTGAGCCCCTCTGTGCTACTCTTGTCTAGCGACAACTTCCAGGTAACTTTGGAAATTTACGAAAATGCGACTTCTCTTCTTAGTGCCTCAGATTACTTTACTTGCATTTCGCGTTTTCTGTCAGAGTTTCCCAATTTTTTCCATATCTCGAAAATTCGGACTGGAAGTGGGACTACCTACATGTGCTATCACCTGTCAGAAATCCATGATGCTTCCACAATAAGTAGCGCATCCTTACAGAAGGTAAGTCAATGGTAGATTCGGAGCATATTTATGCGCCAGTAAAAGGATCAAGTTATACTTTTTAAGCCTCTTAGTCAAGCGATCATTTAGGAGCAAATAGTAATGATTTCATCATGAGTGAAGTTTTTGACCTACTACTGTGATCTTGTGGATCATTGCAACTGGCAAAGCTCTAGCACGCGACTACACACTTTATTGATCTAAATCCATCGTTCGGATCTTTTTGTTGTGCTTTAGTTATGAATCTTTCATCTCCTTCCTTTGAAATCACAATGGTACCATAATTTATTATTTTTTAAACCGTAATACGCACTTGCTCACAGATGTTTTTATGATTACTATATACTATATAGTCTATTGATTGAAATTACTTGCATATGCACTACAAAAGCAAATTCTTTATACTGCCCTTCAGAAGAAATTCTGAGTTCTTCTTCATCGTGGTGCATCAATTGATCATTGATGGCTGTCTCCCCATCTGCTAGCAAAAGAAAGAACGTTTTGATTTGAATCGGATCTCGTTTTTTGACTATGAGGAATCTTTCTGAGAATCTTATTTGGAATTAATCAGCAATATCAATGCTGTAAATACGTTTGTATATTCGCGACATAGCTTTTAGTTTTATGTGACACGTTTAGAATTAAAGATGGCTGCGGGCAAATCTCTACATATTTCTCGGATGATATCTTGGAACGATAGAGATGCGCGATTCTACACTGTTATGTGTTACTCAATTAGAGTTGCTGGGAGTACTTTGAATCACGCCCCGGACATTTCAAACCAGATTCTCCCGAGCAAAACACTGCTCATTCCCATTCTTCTCTTACGTTCTGATTCAGTCTTGAAGATTCATCTACATCATACCATTGCTTTCTAAGAAATTCACAGCATCATCAATGTCTTACAGTCTTGTCTTTATTAGTTCTCCTGCTCAATCTTTGCTTTTTTTTCTGCTCATGTCACATATTTTGAGTTTTCAGCAAGGTCGTCTCACTGCTAACAGTACTTATGTGATTAAGAAGCCTTGAAGCAAAATTCGGCTTTTACATTTTTTTTGTATATCGCCAGAAAACCTTGCTCGAGCGTTTTGATTTTGAAAACAGAAGTTGCAAGCGGTTATCCAGATTATCGAAGACTAAATCTAGAAGGTCTAATCTCAACGCAATGACTACAAGTTACCATGGTTTTCCGCGCTTCCGCGGTAGGAGAAGTAATTTCAAACAGATTTTACTGATATAAGCGTTGGTTTGCAATGGCCAACAAACAAGCTTCCTTGGCAAAGCAAGTCAAGTCTCCAAAATATGAATATAAATTTCATTCAATATATTCGGGGAGAAAGTGCCTGAGATAAGCATGTGTGTGTAGAGTGGATCATGTCGGTTCATTATTAAATGTATTCAGGGACAGAGCAGAACCGAATCTGCGAGCTAGTTCAATGATATGCATCACATTTTTGACTGCAACAAATATCGCTGGTTTAAGTTCCATACTGCGTGGAACCTTTCAACGTGTATCTGACTAAATTTTTGCTCGCATATTTGATGTAGTCTTTGTAAAACATTCGATTATTTGAGATTCTTTGTTCTCGAAAATATCCGACTGTCGTTTCTTCATTCAAAAAAATTTTTTGATTGATACTTCTCTTGCAAAATATTTGACATTATTTATTCGACATTCTTGCTTTTCGGAAATATCCGTTATTCTATATTCGACATTTTATTACTTTTGATTGATAACTCGATTAATAGAAAAAAAACTCGAATATTTCAAAATGTAGTGGCGTCTCTAATGTCGGCTTACCGCTACTAATGTTGGACGACCTAGATGTCTCTTTGTGCACAAGCTGACCGATAACAAACCCAGAACGGTACATAGCCTAGTCCGAGGCTAGAACGGATGTCTGCACAAATTATACGTTGCTGCATGACGAAGGCGCAATATCTTTGAGCGCGAACGCGGCTATATTAGCCGCAGGGCGCATGAGGCGCGGGATTTACAACGGTGAGGATACGCGCGCCCGCGTTCGCGCCGCTCAACTAATACTGCCTCTGCGCCTTCGTCATGCAGTAGCCTTTAAGCACATGCGATCCTAGAACGCACGAGGCTATCACTGCCGGACCGTGCATTTCGGGCGCTCCAGCAGTAATGTGTGCTTGTTAAATTTCCCGTTTGAGTAACTTACAATACAAAGCGATTCAAAAGTTTAGATCCCTATGCGTTGGGCTTGTAGCGCCAGTTTACCTTATAAAACACTAGCTGGCTTACCCGGCTCCGCCGTATCCGGACCAAACTTGGCACACATACACTTCGGGCCCCGGCGGGTGTCACAGTCCACTTTTCGTTATCGATCGACGTCGATTTTACCGATTTTTATCGATTTTTTTGCAGAGTTCACCTACAGGGCTAGGAGTTGGCACAGGGGGGGGAAGTGAGCATGGGGATTCCGAATACAATATTAGTTTTCAGAATTATCGATTACTTTTATTGGTTTTATCGATTTTTTGTAAATTTTGACATGCGAGGCTGGGATTTTGCACAGGGGGTAATCGAGCATGTTGATTACGAACACAATATTAGTTTTCAAGATCGTCCATTACTTTTATCGATTTTATCGATTTTTTGAAAATTTGAGCTAGGGGGCTGGAATTTGGCACAGGGGTGTAATCGAACATGCTGATCACCCCCCTTGGGGATGATCAGCATGCTCGATTACCCCCCTGTGCCAACTCCCAGCCCCCTAGCTCAAACTTTGCAAAAAAATCGATAAAATCGATAATAGTAATCGATAATCCCGAAAACCAATATTGTATTCGGAATCCCCATGCTCGATTACCCCCCTGTGCGAACTCCCAGCCCCGTAGCTCAAACTTTGCAAAAAAATCGATAAAATCGATAAAAGTAATCGATAATCCTGAAAACCAATATTGTATTCGGAATCCCCATGCTCGATTACCCCCCTGTGCCAACTCCCAGCCCCGTAGCTCAAACTTTGCAAAAAAATCGATAAAATCGATAAAAGTAATCGATAATCCTGAAAACCAATATTGTATTCGGAATCCCCATGCTCGATTACCCCCCTGTGCCAACTCCCAGCCCCGTAGGTGAACTCAGCAAAAAAATCGATAAAAATCGATAAAATCGATATCGATCGATGACGAAAAGTAGCCTATGACACCCGCCGGGGCCCGTAGTGTATGTGTGCCAAGTTTGGTCCGGATCGGTTCAGAAATGGAATTTTCTATTCGGAACATACGTACACACAGACAGACAGACAGACAGACATACAGACAAACAGACATTCAGCTTTATATATAAGATTCGTCATCGTCCGGTTCCAAACGTTGCCTACATTCAACCACTCCTTCCATCTATTTTAGAATTCGAAAAGCAAAAACAATGAACAAAACTTGGAGTCCCTTCAATCCAGAGGATATAGAGTACTGACTGCTTGCACTAACGAGCGCGCCAATGCAAGGATCACGTAGCTCATATATTCTTGCTGCGTGGATCGTACCTGCTTCATAGTACCTCCAGATCACTTCCATCCCCATACATGACTTGACTGAAAGGGTGTGAAATAAACCAGGGGCTGGACCAATAATCATTAAAAGCACTGCTGGGTTCGCGAACACAGGCACATACATGGCACCGAAGGCAGCGTCCAGACTAATTCGGACACATGAAAACGTACGCCGATTTTGAGGATCTAACTGAGACACTGCCCAAGTAGCAGCGCAAATGGTGCACTCGCCGCTGAGATGTTCATGTTCACGCTGAGATTTCTATGTTCAAATCAGACCCCGCTATCATAATTAACGGATGATTGACATCCGCTTGAATCTTTTGCGTAGGGACCCACAGCCCTCGTGATGGTTCCCCATTCAAAATCCTGCAGGCCGACGCATGTCGTTAGCCAGATAGGTAGCGTGGATATGTGCTGGACACTATACTTTTGAGCGAATCGAACAGATATTCGAGTATATTCGAATAAAGTATTCGAATAAAGTTTATTCAAAATTCGATCATTCGAAAATTCCAAACCCGAACGTATTCGATATCCGCTTATTCAAAATTTATCAATTTCGAATTTATTCAATTATTCGTTTATTCAAAAATTTTGATTTCCGAAAATATTCGAACTCGAATATCTATAGGCTGCTGCTTGATGAGAGCGCGAAAGCGGCTTTATTAGCCGCAGAGCGCAGGAGATGTAGGATACACAACGGTGAGGATACGCGCGAGCCGCGTTCGCGCCCGCTCAACTAACACTACTATTGGGCCTTCGTCATGCAGTAGCCTTGACTTTCAATAATTATTCGATTATTCGACTTTTTCGAGGAATCGAATAACTACGGGACAGCGCCACATTTTCGACTCTGTATCAGCAAATACTGTTTGTTGTTCAAGTTGCCCACTACATCTAGCCTTCGCTGTGCTAATTAATATTCGACATCGATGCAAAGTATTCGTTTATTCGAATTTTTTTCTCGAAAAAAATCGATTATTCGAAATTTTTACATTTTGAAAATATTCGATATTCGATTATTTGGAACTCTTCATTCTCGAAATTACTCGATATTCGGATTCGAAATTTTGTTTTTGAAAATATTCGAAATTCGATTATTCGATATTTCTAACTTTCGAATATATTCGATTATTCGATTATTCGAAAAAAAATTTTTTCGGATTTTCCAAAGTATACTGGACGTGCCTTTCAGCATGTTTGGATGTCCCTGTAACACTGACGGGTTCTTGCAAGTTAGCAATCACTGGGGCATTATCCGGTGCACTAGCATCGAGCACACAAAATAAAGGAAGAGCATGCTTGCGAAAGAGATCAGAGTCCAGGTGCCGCGCGGGAACAGAAAGTACCATAAGTTCGCGACCATTGCCTGGAATACAACCGAGAACTAAAACAACAGCTAACAAAATCGCCATACTATTCACCAAGCTGTATTTGAAAACAAGGCAGAACTGAGGAGCAACACAATTTGTGCTAATGGCACCAGCTACATTCAAGTCGTATGTTCCAGCAATGCACAGCGGGCGCTCGCAGCGGCTCTGACTTATAACAGATCGTAAGAAACCGCGCATGGTGTGCGATTGCACATCGAGGAACATACCTGCCATGCTAAATTCTAATAAATACAGCTGACAGTCAAAGCTGAAGCATACCACGAAAGACGTGTAGGCACACAGAGCAAAAGCAAGTATACGATACAAAAGCAAAACAAAATCACACTACTTAGCATAGCGAAACATAATAAACTTTAAAAAAATGTCACTGATGATATAGCACAAGAAATTCCCAATCTATACTCACCCCTCTGTTCGGTGAGCATGTATGAAACCATGAAATGGAGTATTACGACTGTGAGATTAACAGCGCGTGAAACATGTGTTCATTCACAGAAGGCAGAGCTGTCTGAAGCGGTTGCTGCAGCACCACCGGTATCCGAAATATCTGAACAGCTGGTGTCGTTATAGGAGTCAACGGTGCACATGCACCATGAATGAGATTTCAAAGACACTTTCAAAAACCCTGGCAAATGAGTCTCCCATATAGGAAGCGTTGGGGAGGATGGGGGGGAGGGGGGATCAAGTAGCGGATTCTCGCGAGTTTCTGCTTACATTCGAGCCTTGAGTTTTGCGTAGTGTGAAGTGAGATAATAATAAGAAGTTTTTTCCGCGTTATAAGGCCTTCACAGAAACCACTTGAATTATCTTATATATAAAGCTGAATGTCTGTTTGTCTGTCTGTCTGTATGTCTGTCTGTATGTCTGTACGTATGTTCCGAATAGAAATTTTCATTTCTAAACCGATCCGGACCAAACTTGGCACACATACACTTCGGCCGGCGGGTGTCATAGGCTACTTTTCGTCAACGATCGATATCGATCTTATCGATTTTTTGCAAAATTTGAGCTACGGGGCAGGAAGTTGGTACAGGGGGGGGTAATCGAGCATGCTGATTACGAATAAAATAATGACAGGGCCGGGCGGAGCCGGGTAAGCCATCTAGTATGATATAAGAACCAGGAGAGGATTTGAAAAATCTTAGAGCGCGCTCTTTCTAGGACTTACTAGAAATGCTAAGTAGGAATTTTTTTGTGTTGTAGCGATTTCTGGGCAGTTATGCTGAAAGGTTGTGCCTGATCGTAGAAGACGTTGATCTGCGGTCATAGTATAACGCAATACGCCAACAGAACTTCCTCAGTTTTCTTTTTCCTGTACGCTTTTTTACCATAAAATGTTAGCTCTGAATCACCCGAAAGTTTCTATGAGAAATGCGAGGATGAAGCAATCAGATATCCCCCACCCACAATCAAGGCCTACTTTACCGTGCACCTACCATACGGGGATGCGGTGCAGGAGGAACCAACTCAGACAGCGGATCGGACCCCTCCGCCGGAGAAGTGGCAGGGTCGCGGCGTATCCCCAGCGGTGGGTCTCCCATTTGTCCGGCGGAGCCCTCCCATCTTCTGCTCCGGATACCCCCTATTTTCTGCTCCGGATACCCCCCATTTTCTGCTCCGGATACCCCCCATTTCCTGCTCCGGATACCTCCCATTTTCTGCTCCGGAGCCCCCCGATTTTGTGCGCCGGAGCCCCCCGATCGCGGCATACTGTAATTAGCCCTAATTAAAGGCAGCTTCCAGGCAGATCTGGACCTATGGGGCTTTTACATGGAAAGTACTTTTGGGGCCCTAACTAAGGCACTGCCGAAGCAGCAGCTCAGGTAGTGCTCCAATGGCTGAGATATTCCCCTCGAAACAGACCCCCCGCGAACGTAATCGCATGGATTCATGGCAGTTTCGCGCCAGGATCCACGCTTTGCGCCATGAATCCATGCGAAACACGGTCGCGGGGTCCGGTTTCGAGCAGAATATCTCAGGCGTTAGAGCACTACTTGAGCTGCCGGTTGGGTAGTGGCTTAGTTAGGGCCCCAAAATACTTTCCATGTAAAATCCCCATAGGTCCAGACTTGCCTGGACGCTACCTTTAAGCTCCAAACCCCAATTTTGTCTCTAAACCCCACCCAAATAAGCCGAATAGGACCCCCCCCCCCCCGGGTAGGAGTTTAGCGCGACCCTCACCCCGTACTCTACCCCCTCCCTCTCACCCCTAGCGTTTGTGGATAGAAGATAGAAGAAAGAACGAAGAGATAAGACATTTATTTCAAATTTATCAAACTTTCGAAAAATCTATCTATCTATCTCCAGCATACGTACAACAGTTAATTCATATTACAAAAACCATACTAAGAGTTAGAGATAAGAATATTGAAAGAAAAACTAATTTCCTAGTTGCAAAAAGAACCTTGTAACACCACAGTATAAGTATATGGTTTTAACATGGTAAAAAAATGACAAAAAGATCAAAAAAGCATTCTGTGCAACATGAAACAAAACAGACAAACTGTGCGGTTCCTAGCCAGTACGACAGTACTCCAGTTAGAAAGGAGCATGTCAACTCCTTTGGGAATCTGAAGATGGCGCGTTTTAAATTCCAGCTCACCTTACATTAGATGACCGCTTACTTCATCCAGTCATACTCCTTTTCAAGCAATAAGCGTCTAGTTAGTCGGAGCATCCATACAAAAGAACAAGCACATGCGGCATAAAAGTATAAAGAGCTCCATGGAGTCCAGAACATTCTGTATGCATGTGGAAAATCGAGGACACCAAGAAAAGACGAAAAAAGACCTGTCTTCAATCGTTGGATCAGTATCGTGCCACGTCCACCACAGCAATTTCGTACCTAACATACGGAATGGTAATTGAAGCATCACAGAACTCAGGCCAACTGCAGGCCCTTCACCCCACCAAGGTAGGCGCATTCTGAAATGGCAATAAATATAAATTTACGCTCACAATCACCAAAGTGGACAAGGGGAACTTAGAAGTGATTTCTATCCAAGACTGAAATTACTGTTACTGTTATAAGGCCTGAGCTGACTTGACCTGTATTGGTGAAAAAAGTTGAAGAAGGATTAACCAGCGATCAATTTTTAATGAAGCAACAAGTCGGGGGGGGGGGAGGGGAACGGGGTAGGCGCCCCCCTTCACAAGCTGTTCGAAAAACAGGACCGTGCAGAAACTCTTAACCGTTATCCGTTAAAATTTGCGTCTACAATTTTGATCGGAAGATTTTCCCGCTAGTAAAAAATGTATGAAAATTCTGTGGACTAATAAATGTGTACAGGGCTTTACAACCTGAGTGTCCCACCCGCCCCGCTAGGACGCCACGCTTAGGTCCGCGCAGCGTTCGTGGCGCTGGCTGCGCGTCGACTGAAGCTTGGCGAAATCCGGGGGATACGCAGCAAACGCCGCGCGCGGCCTGAGCGAGGCGGCCGCGTTGGAGGAGCCGCGCAAGCGAAACTTGCGACTCTCAGGTTGAAAAGCCCTGTACATGAGATACCTGCTAACAAGGACATAGGATGTGTAGAGAAACATTTGATGAAATCCAAAAAGGGCATAGAGAGGAACTCTCATTCCAAAAAAGCTCAACATACCCTAAACAGGACAATTATGAAGTCGAGTGTTGCTAAGAAGAAAGATAAATACCTGTGCATGCCAATAAAGATTCAAATCTGGTACAGAGATAGCTAGTGTTTCGATGGCAAACGCATGTACAGTTACGGCAATCCATGTGTATAGATACCGACCGCCATGACGATAGGCTTATTTGATATTTGATAAAGTAAAAGAAAAGAGCTTTCCAAAAACTCACTAAAGACCTCACCGTAACACGGTACAAAACCTCACCTGGACCATGGTGACAGCTTTCTGACCTATACCTTTCCTAGTTTCAGGCGAGACTGTGAAAGGCAAGTTATCGAACAAATACCGATCCAACAAGTAGTCCATGCTAAAAGAAGAAAACGCCTTCAAGCGGTTATATTAGCTAGAAGACGTCTACAAAGAGGAGTGATTAGTCAGAACTCTTTTGAAAAACGTGCTTTATGTTCCTTCCTAGATTTGATTGCGGAAAGTGCTTGGAAAAGCAATTTTTCAAAGCTTGCTGTTAAGAATGTGAATGAAAGGAAGGAAGAAAAAACCAAATAATGGTTTGATTACGCCAACTTCGCGCCGCGGAAAATAAATTTGCATTCGGCGACAAGTTCAAACCCGCATTCATAGTGAATTCGCGATATGAGCGATTACAACTTATGCCTACAAAGCAAGTTATTGTACAGCAGCTTGATTAACGCAGTTGGCATCAGTTGCAAATGGTGGATATATCTACGGTAAAGGAATGAAATGATTATCGTTTCGTGTGAGACAACCTCGAAAAGCTTTGGACACGTGTAATTAACAAGTTGAAACATGTGCTCTAATTTATCTTGGATGTAACAATCTTGGAAATCAGAGAGCAAACATGTTTGAGCCTGTGTAACGTGCGCAAAGCGTTTTCGAGTATCGCAGTTCAAAAACAAAAAACTACCTATCCTACCAAAGATGCATCCTTTATATCTTTTTCTACCTAAAGGTATATTCTTTGCATAAAACGCTCGTTAGCCAGGCTGGTAAGCACTGTGTGACACGGAACAACAACACGGATTATTTAGACGATACTTTCATCACAACAACACTAGATAGTTGCGCAACTAACCTCATTGTTTCGAAAATCCAGAATTAATCACAAAAACCACTCCATCAATAGTCTACGATGTCTCAGCAAGTCGGAAAGAGCCAAACACTGAAGGTGATTGAGTGCAACCGCACGAAAATTTCAAACATAAACCTGAAAACGAGGAACTTACAGCAACATAAACGCCAACGCGACGAAGAGCAACGCGGAAAAGGAAAAAACGGTAAAGAAACGCGCAAAAACAACAGAATCAAAGAAACGGCGATTAAAATATGGACAAAGAGCGTAAACAGAGGACTCATCACCGTGGAGTTATACGTTTGCTTGCTACGCGCCAAATCGATACGCAGCCTGCTCCGGATACCTCCCATTTCTCCGGCGGATACCTCCCATTTTCTGCTCCGGAGACCTCCCATCTTCTGCTCCGGATACCCCCTATTTTCTGCTCCGGATACCCCCCATTTTCTGCTCCGGATACCTCCCATTTCTGCTCCGGACCCCTCCGATTTTCTCCGGCGCGTGTCTTCCAAATTTGGCGGACACGCGCCGCGCAGACCTCTGCGGCGCGGAGTCCGTCAAATCTGGCAGAGTCGCGCCGGAGAAATGGCGGACCTTTGCAGCAGGGCCGGAGAAGCCTCCCATTTGCCTGCCAGTGATGCCACCGCGATGGACCGCCCATTTGCCCTTCTCTCATTGGTCAACTGGGTCCGGCGCGACCCTGGCAGTTTCCGAGGGTCCGGCGGAGGGGTCCGATCGATTGTCTGAGAAAGGCCTGCCACCTGTAGCCGTAGGAGATAATTAGGAGGGCGAGCGCTATGGGGAAGATTTTGGCAAGGATTCAGAAGAACCTTGGCGAGGACATCCATTAAAAACAAACCCTTATAAATCTCCTTGGAATCAAGTTTCAAGGATAGAAGGACACATTTGGAATCAGTATTGAAATGCGCATTTTTCAATAATACGCTTAGATAGTTAAACAACTCTGTCTCGCAACGATTTCTATCAAAAACTGTGCCTTCAAAATTCACCATTCTAAGCTGAGCAATTTCAAGCTTAATGTTGTGTGGAAAAGATTTCAACTGAATTTTTAGTGGAATTTCTGGATACGAAGTTGAAAGTATGAAGTAGTAATAAGGGAATAATGTTAACTAAGTTGCATGTGACGAACTTGTGCTACTGTGTACGACCTAAAGGATTACCGACATAGTTTCAATGGCAAATTCTATGAAGCCTCTAATGTCAAAAAGCAGGATTAGGATGGGTTTGAAGCTATGAGACAAACTACATATTGCATCTTGACACAAACCTCCAGATGTGTTTTGATGACAATTTGATTGCTTTGGTTCATTGATTCAAAAAGCAAACTATTCCCTTATCTCAAAAAAAAGAATGGATTTTGAATGAAAACCCTGAACTTCAACAACTTGAAACTTCAAAATTCAAAACAAAAAGTTTCTATATGGTAGTTGACTTTTTTAACACTACAATTTCAGATTTTCACTTACTTTTAGGCCCAGTGAATGCGCCTTCCAATTTGCATTACAAATCTATTTTTTAAATTTTTCAAAGTCATCTCCAGGCGAAGTTACGAAGATTTCTTCCTAAAGAATGTCCTTGCCGAGTTTTCTTGTATCCCTGCCAAAATATTCTCCACAGCGCTCGCGCTCTTAATTATCTTCTGCGGATACAGGCGGCGGCCTTTGGTTCCTCTTGCACCACCCCCACCATACGGTACCAAAGAGGCGCCAGAGAATGGAATGAGGGACATTTCACATCATAATACCCATTACGCAAATTCTAGCTTTACTATTTGAACTCGGATCGAAAAAAAAACGTAGTAAGACGCGCGACGGCCACTAAGAGGCGGCGTCCATAGAGAACTACCATATGCTCTCATGGATTCCGACACGCCTCATTCTGAGGGTGAAGTCGCTGTCACAGGATGGAGACTAGATTTTTACTTTAAATGTCTTGCTTTAAAGAAGAGGTTGCCACACAGTTTTGAGGAATTACTTGAGGCGAGGTACCGAAGTCTCCAGGCTTTTGCTTGAGCATTGCTTTAGAAAAAAGGATGACTGATGATCCCTGGCCTTTTCGTTGAATTCATGATTGGACAGCATAGATTGCAAGCTTCAAAAAAGAATCTGGTGAGCAAACGAGATAAAATTAGTAAGATCTTAACGCGAATGGAGAGATTAAGATGGCCCTGCATTCAACCCATGCACTCTGCGATGTTAGAAAATCAGTGCGAGGATCGGATCCGAGGGGATACGAAATTCAATCTCTGCGATTTTTTAGGTAATGTTACCTTGGACACGAACGAAAGGTTATTCTGGGAATGCGCAGCACCTCAAAAAACACATGACTGTTTTTCCTCCTCCCCTCCCCCCCCCCCCCTCTCCCATTCATGCCGATAACGGCTTCAGAGCGCTCACGATCCATATTGTAGCCGCTACCAGCCTCTTCAACATCTCTCGCTTCGACTTCCTCCTGCACTTTGATGTCCAGCCATTGATCAAATGTGAAGTTTGGATCTAAAAGTTTACACTAGTGAAATGAACAAGAATACAGAATCATGAAGAGGATAACCTTTGCGCTTTCTCGACATAAAGTCTTCTGTGTACAAGCCAATAAGGGTGCTGTCATGCTGCATTCTGGATTGGATTTTTAGCCACATAACTTCTCTTTGTAAGGGGAAGTCCACGTTTAGCACATCGACGTCGCTGCCCTCAAAGCGCCTTATTCGTATTGGAGAAAAAAGTGGATAACATCAACATATTAGTTTGTTTCAAAAGTTCTATCTTTTTCTTCTCTTTTTCAATTGTTTTAAGGGGAATGATGTTCATGATTACTTGAACCATTTGAAAACTTTTTTTCAAATTTTTTATGTATGCTTTCCTTTCCATGAAGACTTATCCAGTCTATGGTTGCGCACTTCAAAAGAACAAAGCAGATTAAATATTTTTATCCGATTTGCATGAAACCCAAAGGTAATCACAGGATTCTTGTGAAAACACGTAATGTTCGTTTCGTTGGGAACTAGTGCTACAAGATCTCATCGAAATATCATTTTTTAAAGAAAATTTCAGAGCTAGCGCAATGCGGTTGCGATTTTGCGCTCTGTACAGTGAGGTTGGGTAAAGGACATTTCTTATTGGAAAAACGGAAGAATCTTCTAACTTTTCTTGTCACGTTAGGATGCAATGTTTTTTTTTGCAAGAAAATTCTGCGAAAAAGTCTAGTAACTATTGGTTACAGGAGTGAAGTTTGAGTTTGTGCTATCCCAGCACATTAATTTATGAATGAATTATAGTTCAACCAAAGAGGGCGTACAAGAGAGAATTTATGACGTCCTTCGAGTAGAAAAATCTTTCTCGCGTAGCTTGAGAAAATTTTGGGTATGTCTGATATTGCCTAGGACTTGCTGTTTATAGTACGAAATGTTCCGTTTATAATGATCATCTTTAAATTTTATGGTAAATCGAAGTTGAACTTAGAAAACGAGGAATTTTACAAAGAACCCAAACCTCATCTTCTGCGGACATCCAGGGACTGTTGTTGCTTTTGATTTCATCGGACCAGACGGTGTTGCTGTTGGCATCTTCCTGAATAGGCCAGGGACTGTTACTGATCGCAGCCCAACCCTCATCGATAGGCCAAGGAGTGTTACTGGTCCTGACGCTGTCCAAATCATCATCGAGTAAGTCAGCAACGTAATTTCCATCTGCTTCTCTCTCCGAAAGTGCTACAGCATTTCCATTGTTTGCACTTTCCCCGGTAACGTCGGTGTGATTCCCTTTTCTGTCGGATTTCTCCATAGCGTTTTTGCTTTTGTCACTTTTCTCGTGGTCGGTTGCAGCGGAATGGCTAATGCTTTCCACTTCTTCATCGGTTAAATCGATGGTGCTATCCAAGTCGATAGTGCCATTGCTTCTTTCCTCGTCAGACAACACGATGGTGGCATCGCTTTGGAAGTCAAAATCCGCATCGCTTCCGGCGTCAAAATCCAAGTCGCTGATCCAATGAATCACAACAAAAGGCCGCCTCACAAGAAAAGGTGCACCGTCTTCGTTCCATGCATTTACTTCGTCCAAAATGATTTTCATTTCCCTAAAGTTAATGGAAGTAGAATACGTTCATCTTGCTCGTCTATGTATTACCATAGCGCACAGGTTTAGGGCACTATACGCTTTACAGCGCAGGCGGCTGGCACTACATAGGTACATAGAATGTACAAAAGTTCGTATTGTTGCATACGTCCTCGCCAGACGTCACCCTTCGGCACCAGTGTCCTCTGACTGGTGTAATTTCACTGCGCCATTGCATGAACCGTGTATAGTCGATGTCAATTACGTAAAGGCTACCGCATGACGAAGGCTCAATATCTTCGAGCACGTACGCGGCTTTACTAGCCGCAGAGCGCATGAGGCGCAGGATTTACAGCAGTGAGGATAAGCGCGCATCGCGTTCGCACCCGTTCATCTTATACTGCTTCTGCACCTTCGTCCTGCAGTAGCCTTTACTCCCTTTCGCACGGAAACTACACGCGCACAACGCAACACGTACTTAAGGCTGCGTTCATAATGGTCCGGAAAGTTGGGAACAGTTGCAGCACAGCGCTTCAACTGAGCGCTGCGCTGAAACTGTTCCCGGATTTCGTGTTACACAAGGCTGCGCAAAGCGCGCCCTTTGACGCAGTGCGAATCTCGCTTCCTCGCGGATTCTGTCATATGGGGACGACTACTTTTTAGGGGGAAGTGACAGAAATCAAATGCATCTGTAGCGTAGATCCATCTGCTCTTGTCGCCTATCCTGTTGCAATTATTAGATCAATGTTCTTTGAGCCCAAGTCCCAGGAGCTTGGCATGCCCGCCGTGTGTGATTTGGTTGCGCTCATGACAAGCGTTCTCTTTATAAAGCAACATAGAAGAAATAAACCGCAGATTCATTTAGTGGTATGTGCCAGCTCGTGGGAAGGTACTCTGAACTTAGTTTAACTTCGATCGCTTAAATGCTTGCGGCAATCATCAAATCAGTCTTAGAGCGACCACGCGCAGCGCTAGTTAAATTGCTACTGATCAACTACATTCAAATTTAGTAGCTTTCGTTGGTGATTTATTTGATACTGTTTTTATCTTGCCTCTTTGCCCTTTTACTCCACTGTGTGTAGGATCGCTTTCCATCAACGCAGCGGTGAAGTCTTCTTTATAATGCCATAATCAAAAAACCTCTTAACTTGCAGTATGCGTGCATACTTCGAAGGACTGTAAGCGTTGCAGAAATTCTGGCTTCTTTGTCCTGTAGCTTCCTATGCTCCTGTCATAGGGAAAGTCAGGGGTTAACTGTAAACAGAGAGTCCACCTTTTCTCTTTGCTCCAGATCATCGCAAAGTATGCACGCATGCAGATAACGTTCAGTTTAGTTATAGAAATCATGATGTAAGTTTCAAAGTTCTAGCTGCCGTAAGTGCGCAAAAAAGAACATATTTCGATGACTTCATCAACACAAGCAAAAGCAAAAACAGTTATTGTCGGTTTACACACAGTGAAAGCACAATTGTGCTCGTCTCAGCTAGGGCGCGCCGCTCGCACTACAGCGCTATTATGGCGCGCGCCGCCGCACCGAGTTTCTGAGTATGGTAAGTTTCAACTCAGGTGGAAATTGGACTGGCGGGAGTCCGCTTCGCAACGATTCGCGCCGCTTTGCAGTCTGCGTCTCTTCATTCTAACCTACTCGCTGAGCCAGTGGCTGTGCGGACGCGCTGCTCCACTCGGAATGTTTCGCCTACTCCGAGTCGAAAAAGACTATAGGTGCGCCGCCGGCCGTGATAAGGCGCGGCGCTCGCCAGCTGCGAATGATGGCGCGCTGCTCGCACTGCAGCTTCAAGTAAAGCGCGCCGCTCGCAGGGCAGCCTCAAAAAGGGCGCGCCGCTCGCATTATAGCGCTATCATGGCGCGCGCGCGGCCGCAGCGAGTGTCTAAGGCCCGTATGCACGTACATCCCCGCTGGGGAGGGGAGGGGAACTGGGTCCCCAGGGGAACGATCCCTTCCCTTGAACCCCGCTATGCCAGAGGGGAGGGGAGCGATCTTCTCCCCTGCACCTACAGCGAGGATGATGTCATTGAAGTAGTCGCATCTAGCTCACGGCTACCAGAAGACCTCGGCAAAAAAAGCTATTTTCAGCCAATTTTTGTACAAGAATGGCTTTTGTCATAAAGTGTACAAGAATAGTGATTTCGAGAGTTTTTGTTCCTTTTTTCAGTCTTCTCCTTTCTCTCCTTTCACCCCTCCCATTGTATCTCTCTCCGTCGGTCTCTTCTTCTTTTCCCTATTACTGGTTCTAAGGCTTTGTTCTTTTCGTTACGTGCTTTCGTAGTATTAGTGTTGATTTTCAAAGTAGTGATTCTATTGTCATGTTATAGTTTCCTATCAATTATGTTATGGTCTGCAGTTTTGTAGTTTCTGTGTTTTTTTTCAATGTTTGCTAGCTGTCTCTTTGCGGTATTATATCGGTGCCACAAATTTGGTAGATGATTTCAGGGGTATCGATCGGGCAAACCCCAGCGGGGATCCCTTGATCCCTTCCCTTCCCCTCCCCGTATGCACGAATGGAGCTCAACAATGCGGGGAGGGGATCGACATCCCCTGCAATGGAGTAGGGGTTCGATGGTGTAGATCATGCCAGAGAGCGGATACTCTGGTTTCAATCAGATATTACAGAGCCTTTCGTCCCATTTAATGAAAGAAGTTTCTTCGAAAGCTGGTTCTTCTCTCGGCGACCTGCAGCTTGCAATCTTATCTCCCTCTTCTATATTCGCTTCTTGAAAAGAAACCCGAGCGTATAATGGCTGCCAATTTGGAATATTTGTAGGAGTTTTTGAACATTCACAAAAATGGCACATTTTTTATATGACATGATAATTTTAGCTATGTATGCTAATTAAACTCATTGTAACTTTCATATTCATGACATGTTGCCTTTATCTTGTTATTTTAACATAAGCTGCCTTGAAAAGATCTAGGAAGTAGCAGATTTGCTTATTTCTGAGTAGAGATCCCCAGGGGAGTGATCCCCTCCCTAGCGTTCCTCTCGTGCATAGCAGGGATGGCCGCTGGGGATCATTCCCTTGAGGGAATGGACGGTATGTCGCTAATAGCTACAGCCTTCATGAAGAGCTGGCAGGATTTGCAGCTTCTGTTATGTGTGGAAATGCTGGTTTGAATGTCCGCGGCACCCTCCCACCTTTTTTTGGCAGCATAACATCTTCTACACATTCACTGCAGAGACATCATGACTTCTGATGTTGAACACATTTACGCTGAAATGGGCAGCATTAGCGAAAGTGAGCAACATCCATGAAAACAGCAGAGATATATCGTGCGTAGGAAATATTTTTTTTGGTGCGCCGAGCGCAATCACGGCAGGCGGCATTCCGCAGCCTAAAGTATTGCCGATGACATCCTGGAGGCGAATACCAAACACCGAATACCAATACCAATACCAAAAGATGAGAAAAGTGGAATAATTACCACAAAAAGCGGAAGCAAAATGGTTCCCCCGCTCGATCTCCCCTTCTGCATAAGGGGGTTCCCTTCCCCTACTCCCAGGGGATCATTCCCCGGTATTGTCTTTCTGCATACGGGGGTTCGCATGGGGAAGGGAGGGGAGCCCCAGCGGGGATCATTTCAATGGTTGAGCGCACATCCCCTTTCCGCGGGGATGTACGTGCATACGGGCCTAAGAAGTCAAACTAAAAAGGGATCTCGCTTCATACAAAATTCTTCTACAGTTTAGCTTTAGGAAAATAAGCTCCTGAGAGGCTTGCTTTAAAAAAGGCTTAGAGAAATTTCGTACTCACGAAAAGCTTATACAGAATCTTTGCTTAGAATCTCTACCACTTTTCTTGTCGACCTGCGCCGCCGCAGCGACATCCTCACTACCACTCAACTTTATCTCGTTGATAAGCTGATAAATCATCAGAATTCCCATGAAGTAGCACATGTAGCACAGCTCCATTATGCATATGCTCGAAGTGCAAGCTCCTGCTTCAAAACACAAGCTTGCCTGCAAATTTTGAGCTAAAGTTTCCAACGATACCTCTTCCTAACGGACAACTGCGGTAAATACACAGGGCATGCATTTGCAACCTAGGAACCTAGGTTTTTACTATGCAGTTGTATATATACGAGAATCTCAAATTACATGAACAGGAGACAGGTTGAAGGACCACCAAAAGACTACTTCGTTTCTATCACGTTTATTACATGCGTAGAATCGAAGTCCACGATGTCTGCCGCGCTCCAGCAGCGAAGATCTTGTGCGCCGAAGAGATTCGCATTGGAGCATAGGGCGCGCTTCGCGCAGCCATGTGTAGATTTAGAGTGCCTTCATACCGCGCCGACAGCCGCCGCTAGCAGCCCATAGCAGCCCGTAGCAGCCGCCAGCAGCCCGTAGCCACCACCAGCAGCTCATAGCAGCCCACATCGGCCGCTATCAGCCTGTCCACAGCGGCCGCTATCAGCCTGTAGCCGCCGCTGGCCACTTTGGTCACTGGGCCAGATCTTATTCTTACCAGTTTGACTAGTGAACCAGTAATCAAAGGCTAGATTGCATCCGCGGTTTCGGGACCGCCACGCGGTTTCCCGCTATTTTCGGATTTTTGAATTGCGCTTACGTTTCTTTATATATTAGATTTGAATTGCGCTTACGTTTCTTTATATATTATGGGTGCACCCGCCACACTATTCTTTTGATGAATGCACCCACCACGCTTTTCTTTTTCTACGCTTTTTTCTTCCTATTGCCGCTAATGTGCAATTCGACTCTTAAACATTATAGATTCAAGATAAGCACCGATAGCCAAGGAAATGATTGAAGTATAATAGAACTATACTAAAAAAATAAACAAGTAGCACACCTGCGAAACTGGACGCATCCGGAGTCAGAAGAAATCGCACCGCGAAGAAACTTTGGCGAACCATGGTTCAACTGTGAAAGGGAAACTGAGAACCAATAGGATAACCAGTCTACGGCAACAAGATAATAACAACAATGGACACATGATATATAAGAATAAATTGCGCAGCGGCGGCAAGAAGGAAAAAGCGTGAAAGTTGGAAAGCGTGGGTGGGTGCACTCAAAGTAGTAAGAATTTGGTGATTTTGCGCTTCTATGACAAAAGCGGACAGCGGCGGCTACGGGCTGCTGCCGGCTGCTGTGGGCTGCTACTGCCTGCTGGCAGCGGCTACGGGCTGCTAGCGGCTGCTAAGGGCTGCTACGGGCTAGCACTGGCTCCGGGTTGCTGGCAGCTGCTACGGGCTGCTAGCGGCGGCTGTCGGCGATATAAAGGCCCCCTTAGGTACGTCTCGCAACACAAGGGTCCCATGTGCGAACCTCTAATCGATGGGGCCCACTGTCGCGAAGCTCACTGCACTTATGGAGAAGGAAGTACGTGATTGACACGGACTGTATATGAATGCATTTCCAACAACAAAGGGCTAATTTCGAACCAAAATTTGTTCATTCTCACGAGGATGCAAGATATAGGTATCGTTAGAGTTGGGCCAGATTGCGCGGCGTACGCTACGTACAGTCGAGTAGATTCTCCGCATAATATAGTGTGCTTGCACTGTAGGTGAAATTTGCGCGTAAAAAGTTAGCCACACCAATACTGCCGGTATTCTGCGGCAACCGGAAGGCGTCACAGGCGTACAGTGCGTGTCAATCACGTGCTCCCTTTTCCGTAAATGCAGTGAGCTTCGCGCCATGTTCGCGCGCGTATTACTCGGGCATTTAAGTGGGCCTTATCGATTGAAGGTCTGCATGCGGGACCCTTGCGTTGCGCATGCGTAGTTCCCATGCAAAGGGAGTACGTAAGGCTCCCGCCAGAGTGCCGAAGCCATGCCAGCGCTACGCCAGCGCCGAGCCAGAGTTTCGATCGATACACGTGTATTTCGTTGGAGCGGGGCCAGCTGACCTAGTTCTCAGCAGGTAGATGTCCCCAACGAAATACACGTGTATCGATCGAAACGCTGGCTCGGCGCTGGCGTAGCGCTGGCATGGCTTCGGCACTCTGGCGGGAGCCTAATTGACATCGACTGCAGCTATTTTTTCACGCGCAAATTTTACCGCAATTCACCTACATTGCAAGCACATTATATTAAGCAAAAATTCTACTCTACTGTACCCTTTGATTCATCGAAAGTGGTGGCTGGTGGGCGGGGCTGCTTAGACCCTGCACTGATCACTTTCCTATGATAAGCGTGGGAAAGGCGGAATCAGTAGGGGGCAAGATCACGAGAGAGGTGAAGAGCTAGAAGTGAACGATCAAATTGCACTAAAGACGCTTCCTATTCTTCTATCTCAAAATCCCCCTAATTGTCCTAGCTTCCATCTCATAAAGAAGCGCTTAGTGACAACAGAAAATTACTTTGACTTTGTGATACAAATGCAGTGATATGGCGCACTTAGTACTCGTGTATAAGCATTGCCAATATCCTAATCAAGGCCACAGAAACTCTGAGCTAAGCTCAAAAAAGAGTACTCTGAGTCAACGCAAGATACCCTTTGCTTCAACCAGATCGGCGGCTGGAAGGAGGGCTCCGTGACCTAATTAAGGCTAGAAAATGATCAGAGCATGTTCGCGAGGGAAGCGCAGACTGCGTCGCGGACGCGAGCGGTCGCCTCCTAGGTCATGAACACCGCCTTCCAGCAGCCAAGCTAATTGAAGCAAAGGGTAGGGCTAAAGACAAATAAGACGGTTCTCCCACTTTTCTTCATCTGCTGAGAGGCTTATTGTTGCGTAGTGTTAGTGCAATTACTGATTCGAAATCAAAGCATCTGCCAGTGCTAGCTGATGATTACTAATTCGAGTGATTCCCACACTTATAAGAAACATAAAACAATCTCTCAAGTCAATATAAATTAAGCCCGACCCTTTCGCTTTGAGTTTACAAAGCCTCAGGTCCGAGCATATTGAACGCCATTCAGTCAGGCGCTTTGACAATTCCAACTGTCTTGTAATCTCGAAAGCACATTTTGAATGTACAAAGGTTAAGTTAGCGTCCAGCAAGGAAAATGTGGATTACCATGGAGCGCCTGATAAAGCTCGCGCCGAAATGCCATTGCATGGTTTCTGAATCAAGAAAACCACTTCAGAAGTGCCGGAACGCCTCGGTGACTGGAACGCCCTCGATAGGTGAGAGTGCGCATTATTGCGCATATCGCACACAGTCAAGACGTGGGGTTCCACAACGACACTGCGTCTCAAACTTGGCGGCGGGCGCCGATTTCAAGATCAGGGCTTCTGGATTGGCTCGTTGTCTCCAATTTCGCGCGCTTTAAGCTGTAGTGTTGAGCGGGAAGGAACCCAGTTAAAGGCACCGTCCATCCAGATTCTCGACTTCCAATTTTATGTCGTTCTAGGGCCTTCTCATGTCGCTGATTCCGAATATGAAGTTGAGAGTCCGCGAAAACTCCGACAATCCCCGTTCCGGAGAACCCACAGGCCGGCTTTCTGGAACGGTGATTGGATGGGCGCGCACAAATGGGGGGCATGGATGGGGGTCCTCGTGCATCTTCGTTATTCAAAAGCGATTTTCTCGCTTCCGAAGCGACATTTTGCGCCGCGAATTGGGCACTGGCTTAGTAGGAGGCCCAACTATCATATGCTGCCAAAAACTCAGAACCCCCAATTTAGGGTGGACGGTGCCTTTAAAGCGAAAAAAGCTTCATCCGAAATTTCGTCCGGGCGCTGCCCCTCAACATATTATGCATTTAAAGTCCGTCAATGTTGGATCTGAGGATATCTAGCGAATTGCCAAAGATGGCGTGGCGAATGAAATGGCTTGAAGATGCCTGAGGCCTAAGGCTAATGCCATATTTCCCGCAACGGTGGAGCTCGGATGCTCTAGCGCATTCTGAATGTCAGTGAGCCCTAGTTAGCAGCTTACAAAGGTCATGCGCCATGCACTCGAAGTCTGTGCACGGTTTATTTGAAAACTTAGCAAGACACCAAATTGCGCGGAAGATTAATAATTCGCTAGGCATGCCCAAGGACAACGACTTCTTACCGAGATACAAATCTCTGGAAACCCCTTTGCCAAACAAAACATTCCCTTGTCAGCACAAGATTTGTGGGCATCATTTATCAGATACGGATCGATGCTCAATAGGAATCAAGCAAACAGAATCACTCACACAAAATTTTTAGTTCCATCTTATGGTACGCAAGCGCTAATACTTGTAAAACTTCATAACAGAAACTTTACCTCACACGTGGTGCTGGCGCTGCCTTAGGTGAAGATACTGTCGCTCTTACCATCCCGTAAGATCGGAAATCCCTTAACCAAAAAAAGAACTTGTTGAAAGTGATGGAACACGCGCAGTTAGAAGAGAGGAAACACGCAACTATTGTAAGCTTTCTTTCGGCACGGTTGTCTGAACCCATGGTGGGTCCTGACACGCGATATGCGAGTTCTCTGAACTACGCATGATGAATCGATGTGATGTGATGTCTGCTTGTCGACGGTTTCGGGAGCGGCCATACCATTCCTGTAATTCATGCAATTTCTGCGGTTTTTGTGATTTTGCGGGTCCCACAACAACGTATATTGCGAAAAAGCAACATATGTTGCAAAAAAGCAATGTATACTAAAGTTTGCAAAGCGCTCCGTAGTGCGGCACATCGGAAGTGGGGGATTCACAGGAGATGCAGGAGTTACAGGAATCGGAGAAATCACCTGGAATAGTATTCACCTGGAATAGTATGGCCGGTCTCGAAAGCGCAGAGTAGATGGAACGCTTGGTTTTTTGTTGTTTTCATTTTGCACGGTTTTTGGGTCTGTGGGGTCACCGGGATTAGACAATGGTGTCGTTATTCTCGTTGCAATGGCGTGCAAGCTTTATACCTAATCATGATTTCCTCCTCGGGAAGAAATTATCTTGATACAAGTTTGTCAACATTTCTATGGTAATTTCCAGAGAAAGCGCGAGTCTAAATCAAATGGAAGTTAATTGGCAAGAAGGAAGACATCATAAGGTTCTAAAAACCGGAGATTAATCGTTTTTTGATCATTTGATGGGTGTTAGTAACAGTATTATGTTGTCCTTACGTGAAAATTAGTAGTAGCTTCTCCCGATCCAGGCTTGTTGCCCCTGTACTAGTATCATTTGTGGACGTGCACCCTGAGGTGTTGGAGCTTCGAGTTGTGGAAGACGGCTTGTAACCTACTACATAGTATTGTTGTCAGTTGTTCCTTGTTAGTGCCAACCTTCTGGACCAGCTAAGATTAGGTTAATCTCACTAATTTTCACAGAAGGCATGAGCTTTGAAATGCTATATAGATGAAACAAAAAGTAACAGTTGGGGAGAGAGCTTCTGCGAGCGTAGTATGTCGTATTTTTCAAGGCGATTTGTTGAAGTCCTGTCTTAGGAGTTTCTAGTCAACATATGCATTCTTTGCTGCTTGGATTCCTCCCTTCTGCCCATCAACATGAATTAACAAATGTTAAATAATTAAGCTATGTCATCAGCTAATTCACCAATGGTGGAAGCTTCTTCTAATTTGCAGTGCTAACCTGCAATTAGAAGAAGCTAGAACTTAGAATTCTGTCTAAATAACGATTATTTTCGCTCATTTTTGGCTGAGTAATGTCGAAAAATAACTAGAAAGGCAAAAGGCTCAAAAATCAACTATCACAATGCGTGGGTATTCGAAATGAATGACCAACACCCAGCTTGAACTCAGCGCCATGCATGCAAACACTTTTGCGTAGGGGCACGTTTTGTGTCGGTTGAGTTGCACATATTTCCGAGTTTTGCAAGTAAAAAAAGCATTCGCGAGCTCCCCTTTCTTAGTTAGAGCAACTTTTTACTGTGCCAAAAACAATACAAAGATTATCTGAAACTAGATGGCTTACCCGGTTCCGCCCGGCCCTGTCATTATTTTATTCGTAATCAGCATGCTCGATTACCCCCCCCCCGTACCTACTCCCAGCCCCGTAGCTCAAATTTTGCAAAAAATCGATAAAATCGATATCGAACGACGACGAAAAGTAGTCTATGACACCCGCCGGGCCCGAAATGCATGTGTGCCAAGTTTGGTTCGGATCGGTTCAGAAATGGAATTTTTATTCGGAACATACGTACACACAGACAGACAGACAGACAGACAGACAAACAGACAAACAGACATTCAGCTTTATATATAAGACTAGCGACCCTACGGGTCGCTAGTAGGTGGGTGGGGGCAATTACATTGATTTCTGCCATTAATAAACTAATAATCCCAAGAAAGAGAATTTCCATCTTTCCAGCGACCTTTCGCGTGTTGTGAGTAGTAGAAACAAAACACTGTGCTCTTAGGAAAAGAAGCAACTATCAGTGACTATCCGCAAAGCATCTCTGCTATTCGTCTTGCGGATGCCTTCGCCCAGATACCAAAGCTCAAGGAAGCTACCTCCAAGACCTGTTTAGAACAGCCGATTCAGCCCAAAACTCAGATTGATTTCCAGGAAAGTGCCATGTAAAGAGAGCGTCAAGTTATGTCTTCCAGCAGCCGAAAACTCGAATATGTAGGTAAAAGCGAAGCAGTATTTTCTTCGACGATGTCTTGTCAGTGAACGGACTCATTTCTTAAAACAGACAAAAGCTGGCCCAACGTCTTCTTTTGAAGGACAATCTTCCTGTCGCATAAAACCCTAAGTCTTTCCTTCTCTCGGAACCAAGCTCCTTATGCTTCCGCTTTTAGGGGCAGAAGTATGGTTGAGAAGAAGGGGCTGTAATTTTTCTAGCAAGTTTCTTTATAATTGAATATTGAGACCTAAAAACCTTTAGGGAACGGCCATAGGTTGTCGGTGTTGTCGATGTTGTCGGTGTTGTCGGTGTTGTCGGTTGCCGAGATTGCCGGTCGTTGTAGGACCTCATGATAGACTTCACGTTTCGCGCTCTCTAAACCGTCTCTGACCCCGACAACACCGACAACACCGACAACCTATGGCCGTTCCCTTAGCGCGAATATCTTGCTGTCTGAGCCCTGAGTCTTTTCTTCCCTCGAGACCAAGCTCCCTGTTTTTTTGCTTCTAGGGACAGAAGTGTGGTTTTGGCGAAGTTCAAAAGGCCAAAATTTCCAGAGAAGATAATTTCCTGTCGCAAGAAGCTCATAGGTCTGTCTTTCCCTCGGGACAACTTTTCTGCCTTCAGAGGCAGAAGTCTGGTTTTTGCACAGTAGAATGACCACAGGTGAATTTCAAACAAGTTTCTGTAGAATAAACATTGACACCCAGAAATTCTCAGCGAAAGTATCTTGCTGGCTGAGCTCATGAGTCTTTTCCCCTCGAGACCTAGAGCTATCCGTGCTGTTTTGCTTTTAGAGGTAGAAGTACGGGTTTTGCAGAGTAGAATGGCCACGAATTTCAAGCAAGTTTCTGTATAATAAAACATGAACACCCAGAAACTTCTGGCGAAAATATCTTGCTGCCTGAGGCCATAATTCGTTCTTCCCTTGAGACCAAGCTCCTTGTGCTTATTTGCTTTTAGGGCCAGAAGTGTGGTTTTTGATTTTTGTGGTTTTTGCGAAGTTTTGGAGTCCAAGGTCATAGCGAAAATGTCCTGTCGGATGAAACTCATGGGCTGTCTTTCCCTAGAGACTGAATTCCCTGTGCTTTTCTGCTTTTAGGGGCAGAAGTACTGGTTTTTGAAGTCTAGGGGTCAAACCCCTTGGCGAAAATGTTTGTGGCATAAAGCTCATGGTTCTGTCTTTTCCTCGAAACCAAGCTATCTGTGCTGTTTCGCTTTTAGAGAAAGAAGTGTGGTTTTTGCAAATCTTTGCAAATTTTTGCAAATCCCAGTTCCGTGGCTTAAATTTTGCAAAAAATCGATAAAGCAAGTGAAGGTAATTGATAACTTGTAAAATAAGAACGTGTTCGTGAGCAGCATACTCAATTACCAGCCTGTACCAACCCCCAGCGCCGTGGTTTAAACATTAAAAAATTGATTAAACCAATAGAAGTGATGGGTATTTTCTAAATTGGTTATCATATTCGTAATCGGCATGCTCGCTTGCTCCCATGTGCCAACTCTCAGCGCCGTAGCCCGAACTTTGCAAAAAATCGATAAAATGATGAAAGTAATGGGCATTTTTGAAAATGGTTATCATATTCGTAATCAGCATGTTCGCTTACCCCCTGTGCCAACTCTCAGCCCCGTAGCTTGAACTTTGCAAAAAAATCGACAAAATGATAAAAGTAATTGATAATTAAAAACTAATATTGTAGTCGTAATCAGCATACTCGATTACCCCCTTTGCCAAAACCCAGCCCCTTAGTTCAAAATTTGCAAAAAAATCGATAACATGATAAAAGTGATGGGTATTTTTGAAAGTGGTTATCATATTCGTAATCAGCATGCTCGATTACCCCCCTGTGCCAACTCCCAGCCCCGTAGCTTGAACTTTGCAAAAAAATCGACAAAATGATAAAAGTAATTGATAATTCTAAAAACTAATATTGTATTCGTACTCAGCATGTTCGCTTACCCCCCCCCCCTCTGTGCCAACTCCGACCCTCGTAGTTCAAAATTTGCAAATAATCGATAAATTTGGTGGAAGTAGTAACAAGTATCCATACTGGAAAACGACAGACACGAAAACACCATCGACCACAAAAACACCATCGAGGATGTACAGACAGCATCCACCAGCGTACAGACAAGTACACCATTCGGTTTTATTTATAGAAGGATGTAAGAAGGCTGATGAGGGAAAAATTGTACGGGCATGTTGGTGAATTGCTTGAATTTTTGCCTTGCGAGTTGGTGTCAAAATTTTAGATTTGGCTGGAATTTGGTCAAGGGGGGGGGGGTGTTGGACGCGCTGATTACGAATATCACATCCGTTTCTCAAGATAGCGCCATATGGTGGGGTTACGGTAGGTATACGGTGCGAGTGAAGATGCCAAAATTTGGTTTAACTTTGCCTAGGGGGAAGTGATCGACAGCTGAACAAATTCATCACATTAATTGGTAAAATTGCGTTGATTAGCCTTGTATACCAAAGGTGGCCCTAAAGAGGGCCGTTGGGACAGGGCTATTCTAGCTGGAACTAAGTCAGGCACGCTTGCCGAAATTCTGTCTCGGAAATTCTTTGAGGTAGTCGGCATCGGCTGTTGTTGATGCCGTACTTTTGCTTTGCCATCCGCTTAAATTTCTGCCAGTGGCTTTCGATATGTTGCCTGTGGGTGCCTGTGTTGGGGTCAGCAAAATTTATCTGGTGGTTTACTGTCAGGTGACGGTATCCCTGCGGCAGAGACGCATTTAAATTGTAGCCACGCCAGCAGTCGCTGACGATGGTAGCCCCAAATTCAATTGGAAAGGGGGGGGGCAAATCACTCAAAGTTGCAGTTAAAAAGAGGCGAGACTTCGGGCGGTGCCAAAAACTTGGTCACGTCGAAGCGGCTAGCTTTCTTAATTCCTCCATTCCCACGACGTAATGGACATATTTCTGGCTCATATGACATTGTGAGACGAAATGGATGTGATATCCATGACCACTGCCCCCCCCCCCGACCAAATTTCCCCGACTAAACTTCAGCCAAATCTACGATGTTGACCCCACTCAGTATGCCTACCGTAACCCGACAGGATTAGCCTTTTCGTGATCAGCGTGTTGAATAACCCCTGTATGCAAAGTTTTAGCAAATCGAGATTCTGGTTACGGAAGGAAGAGGGCGAGTCATTCTTTTAGGGTCCAGGTATGGCGCTCATCAGGAAGCTAAATGGTTATCTTACCTTGTACCGCCTCAGCCCCAACGAAAAATTGTAAGTGGTTTTTCCTTGAGCTTTCCAAGGCATGTATTGTGGCATCATATCAATTGCCTTTGGAGATTCGATCAAATAACAAAGCTTATGTCGCCGGTGGAACTAACGAAAGCTCTAGATGCTATCGGCAACTCGAAAACTTATGCAGATTTCATTGCCTTCGGAGAGACTTACAAAATGTTGGCAGATTTTATCGCTTCGGGTAAGACTATTTTGTGAATATCCTCCAATTTTCGTTTTGCAGTGCATGCGGGTTACATCTTTAGATTCGAGAGCAATACAGATTTTTGATTTGATGTTAGGCCCTAGGCATACCTCAAGTGATTTCATCGCGACTTGGTTTGGCAATACTTCCCAATTGTTCAGAACTCCTCGTAAGGGGTTTCTGAATGTACGGAAGATAGGGCATTTTATCAATCTACAAAAGTTACACATGCGGTGCATTTCGCGTCTGTCAGTATTAAATTTGAAGGCATTTGGCAAATGGCCAGATCGCGTGGAGATTGAAATCGCGTGAGCTATGCCCACGGCCCTATGCCTAAGGCATACCTCGCGCGATTCGGCACAACAGCGACTCTTCGTAATTCGTCGTTAATGCGCTGCCTTTGGTCAGAACTTGCTCCGTTTGCAACAGCTTACACAAGCTACCCAAATATGCATCCGAGAAGCGCGCACGATAAATTTGTAGAATTCTGGCAAATCGCCAAGTAGCGTGAAAGTGGCAATTCGGCCGAATCGCTTGAGGTATGCCTTAGGCCTTAGGCCTAAGGCTGTGGGCATAGCTCACGCGATCTGGCAATTTGCCAAATTTCCTCATAACCAATCCTGGCAGACTCCAAATGCACAGCATGTATAACTTCTGTAGGTTGATAAAATGCCCGATATTCGTACATTTAAAAACTTCTTACTATGAGTTATGCACAATTGGAGTATGCCAAATCGCGTCGCGACTGAAATCGCGTGGGGTATGCCCAGGGCCTAAGGCTAAGGCCTAAGGCATACCTCACGCGATTTAGTCAAATCGTTACATCCACGCGACTTGGCGATTTGCCAGATGTTTACAAATCAACCGTGCGCGGGTCTAAAATTAATAGGCGCGTAGCTTCCGTAAGTTACAGTAAAAGCTTCAACTCTGGCTCGTACAAAGCGCGCTTACGACCAGTATGAAGAGTCGCTGCAATGTCAGATCGCGCAGCGACTGGAATCGCTTGAGGTATGCCTTGGGCCTAAGGCCTAAGGCATACCTCACGCGATTTTAGTCGCCGCGCGATTTGGCACTGCAACGACTCTCCATGGCTGGTCGTACAGTCGAGTAGATTTAGCGGTAAATATAGTGTGCGTGCACAGAAGGTGGAATGCGGTGAAATTTGCGCGCGAACAAGTAGCCACGTCAGTAGCGCGGGTATCTTGCGCGCGCAATTGGCCGGCGTCACAGTCGAAACTATTTCTTCACGCGCCAATTTTACCGCATTTCACCTTCTGTGCAAGCACACTATATTTACCGCTAAATCTACTCGACTGTAAACGCACTTTGCTTGGGGCAGACTTGCTGTGTTTGTTACAATCAACGAAATCTACGCACCCATGCATCTGAGAGCCTCGCATGCTTAATCTCTAGATATCTGGCAAATCGCCAAGTCGCGTGAAAGTGGCGATTTTGCGAAATCGCGAGAGGTATGCCTTAGGCGTAAGGGCATACCTCACGCGATAGTCGCGCCGCGATTTGGCAATACTCCAATTGTGCATAATTCATCGTAAGGGGTTTCTGAAAGTACGAAATATAGGGCATTTCATCAACTTACCAAAAAAATAGGTGTGCATTTGAGCTGCCAGTATTGAATTTGAGCATACATGTGAAAAGGCGATAATGTGTTCCTACCCCCTTCACCCCAAGGCCGGAACCCAGCTGACCCCCCTTCACCCACGGCCGATGAGGAAATGTAAAAAAAGAGACTAAGACATTAACATTTTAAGCAAAATTATAAAACTATCCACATTATTAAAATCAAATTTAGTAATATTTTAATTCCTAACATCATTAATATGATCATCAAAAACCTACATGCAGGCTCACTGAGAAGTAGATCGGAAATTTGCCGCCTATTGTTCACTTCTAGAGAACGATGAAAAAGCCTGGAGAAAAATTTACGTGTGAAGCCTTTGTCTATATACGTCAGTGGAGTTATTACTCACGTATTTGCTGAAATAATAAGTGAAATAATAAATGAACTTTGATGATCGGTGCGCAGTTAAATTGCATTCTTTTTAAGAGGTATAAATTTTTTAAGCAGATGGCGGAATCCGTGTAAAGTCATTGAATGATTCCTTAAAGAGTCATTGTTCCAATTTTTAATATTATTTCTAAACTCCGAAAGAGATCGTAACATTTGCTAGAGAAGCAGGTGCAACAGAGGCACCTATTACGTCGAAGAGTTGGTGTAATCAGGGTTAAACTTACTGTCAAAATGTTATAGCTACGAGGATCGTGGAGTTCTACAATCCGCCTACTTGGACGATGATAGGGATGAAGCAGGAAATCTTCCTTTCTGTACTCAAAAAGCGTCCATTATACCATGTTCCCTCCCCTTTCACCACGTACTTTTAGCATCCCTCTCCCTGCAACCTATATATCTTCTGAAAGCGAACGACGAGAGGAATTCAATAAACACCTAATCACTCTCCTAGCTTCTCATATAAATTTGTTATGATTTTTTCAAGTTAAAAATTGGCTTAATTCCGGAAAATAGACTGCGACCCCTTTCACCCGATAGGAAAATCCTCTTTTTTCCTAACAAACTGCATATTCCCTGAAAGCGGACGACGAGGGGATTCCAATAAAGTGCAAAGCACTCTTCTAGCTTTTCGTATAGTAAAGTTATGAATCTTTATGAAATAAAATTTCCTTAATTTTAGAAAAACAATTGCGACCACCTTCATAATACAGGAAAATCCTTTCTTCCTTGGTAAGCTATATATTTTCTGAAAGCTTTCAACAAGAGTAATTCATTGTATGGCTAGAGACTCTCTTATCTTCTCATATCAAAAATCTACGATTTTTATAGAAAAATTCTACAGTTTTGAAAAAATGACTAAAACTATTTCTAATTAGCAGGAAAAACCCTCTTTTTCCTGGCAAGCTGTATGTTTTCTGAAAGCTGATGGAGGTAGACTTCTAAACTAGAGTAGGCGCTAATTATGATTGAGTTCTCCTTTTAAGATCTTTTATATTTCTTAATCTTCTTCGATGGAAAACAAAATTTTTTTCAGAATAATCACGCAGTGATCATATACGATTGTCCTTCTCCTCTAGTATAGTGCTCCAAGGTGGAAAAATGCATCTCTGGCTGCTTCATCCCTATCATCGTCCAAGTAGGCGGATTGTAGAACTCCACGATCCTCGTAGCTATAACATTTTGACAGTAAGTTAAACCCTAATTACACCAACTCTTCGACGTAATAGATGCCTCTGTTGCACCTGCTTCTCTAGCAAATGTTACGATCTCTTTCGGAGTTTAGAAATAATATTAAAAGTTGGAACAATGACTCTTTAAGGAATCATTCAATGACTTTACACGGATTCCGACATCTGCTTAGAAAATTTATACCTCTTAAAAAGAATGCAATTTAACCGCGCACCGATCATCAAAGTTCATTTATTATTTCACTTATTATTTCAGCAAATACGTGAGTAATAACTTCATTGACGTATATACACAAAGGCTTCACACGTAAATTTTTCTCCAGGCTTTTTTATCCTCCTCTAGAAGTGAACAATAGGCGGCAAATTCCGATTACTTCTTAGTGAGCCTGCATAAATCAATGATATTAGGAATTAAAATATTATAAATTTAATTTTAATAATGTGGATGGTTTTATAATTTTGCTTAAAATGTTGATTTCTTGATCTCACTTATTCCAGTTTTTCTTCTTCGAATTTCAGCGGATAAAACCCAATACTCGACTTTAACCCGGTTTGGCTACAATTTCACTTGATGCATGTGAATGAAAAGAACATGAGAAGCAATGATGACGAACATTGCCCCCCCCCGGTCGATGCACCTCCACAGCCGCGGCCGCTCCCCCCCCCCAGCGGCCCTCATACCCCCTTCACCCTGGAGAGGCGGGACCCCTATGATCCCCTTCACCCTGGAAAGGCCATGTTCCCCCTTTGCACACGTATGAATTTGAGCGTATCTGGCAAATTGCCAGATCGCGTGGCGACTGAAATCGCGTGAGGTATGCCCTTAGCCTAAGGCAGAGTTCACGCGATTTCATCGCCGCGATTCGTCGCGACAAGGCAACAACGATATCATTGCATGGCGATCTTTCTGCGTTTCGGTTGTGATAGTTTTCCAACACGACTGATCGTGACTAATTATCACAACCGAAATACAAGAAGATATGCAGTGAATTCGTAATACTTGTTCTTCGTGATCAATCGCGACGATGAAATCGCGTGAACTCTGCCTAAGGCTCTAGGCCTTGGCCATACCTCGTGCGATTTCAGTCGCTACGCGATTTGGAGATCTCCAGATGTTTTTATAGGGCATTCGAAAAATCGTGACGATGGTGCGATGCGCGCGACACGCACGCACTTCCGGCATCTGCATTTTCTTGGTTTCATCACTTTGGAATAATTTTTGTGCTTGCGTATGATAGTATTTAGACGCTGGAAGTGACTGAGCTGAGCGTTGAAGTAGTGCCTTTTCGTATGAGTGTTTTACGCTCCTGTGGGCGCAAACACCGCGGTCGAATCCGTCGTCACGAGGGGACGGGGGGGGGAGTTTCTCACCCAAGCCATTTTCTCGCACTTAAGTGATGTGCCTGCCAGGCACATCCGGGCTCGCTATTATTACTTGCTCCTCAGAAGACCAAGACTTCGCAAGCCACGCCCCTTATCCACTGTCCTCCAGATGCTGAAAACAAAATCTCAGAGAAATTTTCAAAAACATAGTTTAAAAGTGAATTTGCTCCAGTCAAGACCAAATTTTCAGTTTACGGGTTTTGGAGGTTGTTCATTTCAGTAGTGAGATTTGTTTGTTGCAAAGTCAACATTCAGCACCACTAATGCTCAAGAGATCAAAATTCGGATTCGAAGGTTTTCGAATATTCCTTTCGAAATCAAGACCAAAGTTCGGATTTACGATTCTCGAAATCGCTTTTTTCATAACGATATATGTTTGTGCAATATGAATAACGATTTGATTTTTTGAACAGTTTGAAGACAAAAATGTTTTTCTCACAGAAACCGCATTACTTCCATAAGTTTGAAATGCCAGAAGCAGCAGTATATGTGATTCCGTAGTGGCTCTCATGTCTGTGATTTCGAATATGAAGTGGAGAATGTGCGAAAATCTCGACAATCGTTCTAGGGAACCCGCAGGCCGGATTTCCAGAACGATGATTGGATAAGCGCGCACAAATGGCGGGCATGGATGGGGGGAGGGCGGGCATGTGTGAGGGTCCTCGGGCATCTTCGCTATTCCGAAGCGGTTTTCTCGCTTGCGAAGCGGGATTTTGCGGCGCGACTTGGGCATTGGATTGATAAGGCGCCCTACTACTATATGCCGCCAAAAGCTCAACACCCTCAGCTTAGGGTGGACGGTGCCTTTGAGAATCGGTGCTGAACGTTGACTTAGCAACAAACAAATCTCGCCACAGAAAAGAGCAATTTCGAAAAACCCTGAATCCGAGATTTGCTCTTGATTGGAGCAAATTCGTTTCTGAACTTCGATTGAAGGTCTCTTTGAAATTCCGGTTTCAGCATCTAAAGCGATACTGGAGGGGCGGGGCTTGCGATGTCTTGGTCTCCTGCGAAGCTCGTAATTGTAGCGAGCACAGATGTGCCTGAAAGGCACATCACTTAGGTGCAAGAATATGGCTCGGGCACTGGCGTACCGAGGGGGAGGGGGGGGGGGGAGCCCCGAGAATGGGTCGCGAAATTTTTGAAAGTTACCTACATGAGTTATCGTTTGTTCGCTTGCGATAGAGTAGGCGGAGCACTGCTGACGTACACGCGCGGCGGTTTTTGATAGCGAGAGGGTACAAAAACAATGCTCTAGAATAGAGGTTTATCGATAGATCAATTGTCTTTAGTGGTCCGTCTACTCTAGAGCAAGCGAGCACCATATATGAAAATGACTTGATAATTTTTGGAAATTTTCAAGGATTTAGATTAACCTTGTAAAAAAAATTTTTCTGGATTTTTTTTCAAGATTGTAGAGGTTATGGACCTGCAAAAAACTTGAGAAGCACCCAAGAATTTTTTCGGAGTGCGTGGCTAACGCACGCACCTTCTTCAGAAAAAATTTTCGTCGCCCCCTCCCCCTCTCCCCCAAGCGGAAATCCTGGGTACGCCACTGGGCTCGGGTGAGAAATTTCTCGCACCCGACCTAGACTCATCACTCTGGGCCAACAGAATTCGAGTCACTTTGAATCATTTTATCAGCTCACAAATTTCGCGGCCCATACGTTTTGGGGGAGGGCGGATCTGAATGCACCTGGTACATCGCCAAACCACTTGCTCCCATCGCCGAAGTATGGCTAAGGCCCCGGGCAGGCTTCACGCGATTTGATCGTCGCGACTGAATCGCCGACTGACAACTACTACAACATCATTCCATGCCGATCAACTTGCATTCGGTTGTGATACTTTTCCAGCCCGAAATTTTTGAATGTGAAATGAAAATGAATGGAAATCTTGGCGATCAGATCGCGACGGTTAAGTCGCGTGAAGTCTGCCCGGGGCCTAAGGCATACAGCCCCGGATACTCAGATGAAAATTGTCACATGTGGGATAAATATGTGGATTCTTGTCTAGAAATCTGGTTATTTTTAGGGAAATTGGAATCTAAATTACTGGACTCTGTAAAAATATATCTGAGAAGACAGTGGTCGCTTCTAGAAATTTTCTGCCAATCAATGTCCGACCAAGACATTAAAGTATTTGGTGCTCACATTTGGTTGGCTCTATCTCAAGTGTTTATTGCCAGTGCCCAGTTCAAGGTATACAAAATATAATTTTGATTTTTGTTTTATGCGAGAACGGTTTTTTAGCTTTCAAGTCAAGAGTGGGGCCAAATTTTTCTTCCTATCGAGAAATGGTTTGGCGATGCTGGCTGCGAGGCGGTAGAGGTTTGCCTAGAAAAGTGGAGAGCGCTGATTGCTTTCATTTCATCAAAGTCTCCAAAAGGTATGCGAAGAGAGCGATGCGCATACTAAATAATGTAATGTTAATGTTCAGAAATACGAAAGAGCGGGAAATATATCCGATTAATCCAAATATTCTCTAAGCCTTTACGATCCCGAACAACAATCAATAAGTTCCCAAACAACATGTTGCCAATTATTAGAACTTACGCATTTCTCATCAATACGTTCAAAGATGTCTTGGACGAACGTTTCGAAGAGGTGACCTGTTGTCCAATCATACTGTCGTCTAGAAATGCAATTTAGCTCATCATCTGCTTTTTACGCTTTCTTGCTGGCAGAAAAGCCCAAGTGCTCACCACAAGTGCAGAAATCGAGAATGAACTAAAGAAATCTATCGACTCCTTGGAGCTCATTCTCAATTGCGCTATCCCTTCACATTTAGGGTAAGGAAATGTTTTGCAGATTCTCTGCTCTGCTCTTAGACTTAGACATTAAATCTGATGTGATGAGATATAATCTTTAGATATCTAACTGACGACAGAACCAACTCATCCGATTCACTAACCTTGTACATACTTCCTACCGTTAGCTCTGTTCTCGGAGTTGCTTACAATGGTCATCCCACAGGTGAGCTCTGAACGTTTTTTTTTTCGCTCACTTACAGTTTTTTCGAGCTTCAGATATCCCTCTGCAAATCCCCTCCTGTGGCAACAAACCGGATATGACGCAGAAATATGCAGTATTTTTCCAAATGCTGCGCTTAGCCGGTCGCAAATGCAGTCATGGCAAGTTGAAGTCATTCCAAGATACTACTTTCATATATTTTTAGCGTATTTTTCAGAAGACGATGTAGCAGTGATAGGTTCATGTTTCGCTGCTTTGTCGCAGCGTATCAGCTCCATTGAAGAGGTCGCAGTGGAAATGAGCGAATCTCGCTTACTTTTTAAGCAAGTGCAGGCTTGGGTTGAAGAGAATAACTACGGCGTGGAGATTTTGGAGGTAATCACACCATCATTCGCTTATCAGTTACACTAAATCTTTTTTAGCCGGTTCTTTGCGATCTTTTTACTACCAAAAACCTGTTCATGTATGCTAATACTCCCACTGAATGGTCAGCGAGAGTTTTGCTAAACTCGCTTTTAGAAAAATACAGAGGAGGCAGAATCAGGTACTGTCGCTTACGCAAGCTGTCATTCCATTTTTAGTTATGTTTTAGCCATCTTCTGGAAGCTACAGCTGGAACACTCTTAGATGTCTTCGAAAATCATGTTCTCAAAGGCGTGGGTGAATTGTCGGGTTTAATGGAAAAACATCTTCAACGGTTTGAACCTATATCGCTTATGAAGTCATGGACTCAACTAGCGGAAATTACAAAGGTTTTTATTAGTGATGTAAGGTTTTTTATATAAATTCAGCTCGGTTTTTATATTACTTGAGCATTTTTGATTCTAGAGTGGCGACATAAACGAAGTTGGCCTTTTTCGACCGGATTTTCGTACTTCCTCTCGTTTTTTACGATTGATTTATAAAATTGCAAACGTAGCTGAGGAGGTGCTTTTTTTCTCTTTTTGAAGATGCTTGCAAAGTAGTCTTTAATTTCAGGAAGTTGATGCAAAAGTCCTGCAAAAATGCACCACCTCTTTTGGAGAGCTTTATTCTGAGACTCAGACTGGTGTACGACATGAGAATGGATGTGGCGCTGGAACTATTCTAAACGGCCTTTATGACGACCTGATATTACCAGAGACTGTGAGTGGTTCCTATTGCGGATACCATCGCTGACACGAAGCTTTTGCAGTTTTGCTGCATTAATGTTTACACTTCCGCTTTCGTTTCTTTGGTGGAAGTATATCCCTTCAATTTCATTAACGAAGACGATGTGTTTTGTGGTAGGTGTCATGATCATCAGCTTACCTTTGGCTGGTTGATTCTCTGCTATTTTAGCAGCTTCCTTGGAGTTCAGCGCATTAGGAGAAATCACTCCCTTGATCAAAGCCGTGACCACAGTGGGTAGAAAGCTTATCGAGATGATCAATACGATAGAGGTAGTTCTTTTAACAGTTTGGTACTCCCGTTAGATTTGTACGAATATTTGCTAAAGTCTTTGAAACTTTACGTTTCATCAGTTTTACTAGCCGTAGGAGACAATTGTTAACAAGATTCGGACTCCAGTAATGATCCGCGATAACTTTGCACACCATGTATTGACTTTTCTGATTGAATGCACATGAGTGTATGAATTATTGAAGCGCTTCACAAACCAGCTTTGCAGAAGGTCAGTAAACTTTCGAACTCAATCTTGGAGGACGTGTTAAGCATTATCAGCGTCGTCGTGAAGCTGTTTCAGAGCATAAAAAAGCCTAGCATAGTGAGTGATAAAATGGAATCTCGTTCTCTTGTATGCTTATTTCTTCAATTCAGATTCGTAATATGTTCCTGTCCATGTCCGGCTTGTTGAAGGAAATGTACTCTCTTATCTTCACTGGAGATGTGCGTTTCAAAACGATTGCGCGTTCTGTGCTTGAGGCTTATCTTACTGTAAGTTTTGTGTTCGCATTAATTTTTCGTCTTTTGCAGATACTTTTAGGTTCTCAAACTTGTGAAAACGAAGGCTTCTGGTCCTTATGATGAAAGTATGCTTGAGGATTGTGCACCGCTTTTTATCCAGTTGCTTGGTGGCAAGCACGGAAAACGTGCCAAACTTCGAGCCGCAGCTGCAGAGCTTTGGAACAATACATTTGCGAAGGCGGTGTTCAACTATCCGATAGAATTGAGGTTCTATAATCTATTTCGCGGGGCGTATCGTTATGTGCGGGCTGCCTGGAAAACGTCGCGCGCGACAGGCTGCCAGTGACCAGACTCGGGAAATTCAACCAGCATGATCCGTAGCACATAGTTTTTTTCAGTTTCTCATTCTCTGTTGATGTTGACAGACTATTCTCATATCAGTTTTGCTTAATTATTTGAAGTTCTGCCAAAAAGTTGTAAAATGAGCTCTTTAAAGGGCAAAAAAGACACAAATCGAAGAAGGTAAAAAACTAACAACATAAAAGAAGCATTGGTAATCTAGTGGTATAAATCTGACAACTTTTCTGCACTGCTGCTCCCCACGCGCGGTCACGGTAACGCCGCGCGACGTTTTCCATTTGGCAGCCCGCACGTAAGGCGCCGAACAGACTTCACGCGATTTGATCGTCGCGACTAAATCGCGACGAGACAACTGTTACAACATCATTCCATGCCGATCAACTTGCATTTCGGTTGTGATACTTTTCCAGCCCGAAATTTTTGAATGTGAAATGAAAATGAATGGAAATGTCGGCGATTGAGTCGCGACGATCAAATCGCGTGAAGTCTGTCCAGGCCTAACGGGCTCGACGTCAGGAGTCACGCCGCGCTTGGTCGACGCTTCGCCGACGTTGCGCGCGAATTCTTACCAGCGCGGCGGACGAGCATGCCGAACAACTCTTCGCGAACCCTTGCCAAGCTTGCCGCACAACTAATTGAATCAAGTAATAGTTAGTTATTACTGGTTACAGATAGTGGATCTTCCTCTGCTTATATAGATAAAGACGGTTTCGTGGAACATTTTCTCTTGACGAGCAAGCTTCTAGCAGGCGCCCTTCCAATCCTCGAAGTTAAACTTCGAAAAATTTTGAAACCATCTATTAGTTTGCCTATTGAAGGCCTATCGAACCTTTGTTCACTACTGATGCTTCTTCACGATAAAGATAAGATAAGAGCCTTTGTTGCGGAACGGAACTTACATACACAAGAAGATTGCCGCCGCCTAGTTAACGGAGTTCATGAGAGGTCATGAACTGGCAGCAACGCTAATTTGCCTCAATTTGCACCGAAGATGAGCTGATTCTGCTTACGGTAACTCCGATCATCATCCGCAGCCTATGAAACCGGAATTTCTTTGAAATTTGAATTCAAAGTTCAGTAGTAAAATCAGTCCAATTAGGGCAAAACTTGTATTTAGGGGTATTCTAACAAGCTGATCCCGAATATATTAATCGTTTTGCTTGAAACCTAGGATTTTTCTTCTTTGAATTGAAACTGGTTTTCACAAGTGAAAATTTCAAAAATTCTACGTAGGGTTTTCTGACATGCTGTTTCCTAAAAAGCTGATGGTTTCGCTCAAAACTTTAATTTTTTCCTTCGAAATCTTGTTAATTTTTCCACAGATTCTCTGCAAATTTGGCAAATTTCACAATTAGGGTTTTTTGACATGCTGTTTCCAAAAGTTTCCATTTTTTCTTAAACATGGCAGATTTTTCCGTTTGTTTTCCAGGTTTATCAAATTTGCAGTGAAATTTCCGAAAAAGAGTTTGAAATTCAAAATAGAAAAATTTTGAGGTTTCAAGCAAAACCATTAGCTTTTTGGGAAACAGCATGTCAGAACGCCCTTACACAGAATTTCCGAAATTTTTATTTGTGAAAACAAGTTTCAATTCAAAAAAGAAAAATATCCTAGGTTTCAAGCAAAACGATTAACATATTCGGAATCAGCGTGTTAGAATACCCCTAAATACAAGTTTTTGCCCCAATTGGACTGATTTTACTACTGAACTTTGAATTCAAATTTCGAAGAAATTCCAGTTTCATAGGCTGCAGGATGATGACGGAGTTACCGTAAGCAGAATCAGCTCATCTTCGGTGCAAATTGAGGCAAATTAGCGTTGCTGCCAGTTCATGACCATGAACTCCGTTAACTAGGCGGCGGCAACCTTATTGTGTATGTAAGTTCCCTCACCCCCCTTTGTTTTGTCTCTTTTATTTCAAATGAATGGTATGCCTGCGTGGTCATTTGAAACAACTTTGAAGATGTTTTTCTCTTCAAAAACTGACATACTCCATGCACAGTAGCTGTTTCTGATCATATCATCATAAAGAGCTGTTTTTGACTAGTGCAATCCAAAGTGTGGAACAAGAGGAGGATGAGAATGCAAACGGCAAGAGGGTGCTGGAACCTCGCATCTCTTGTGGACGCATCAAAATCTATGGTCTTAAAGATCTTTCGAATATGAGGTCAAAATGTAGGCTATTCAACGAAAAATACTATGCTCTGAGAAAATGTGAACAAAAATGATGTAATATGCGACGAGTAACTTAGATCGAACTCTAACTGAATTTACAATACTCCAGAAGCTGATACTTACCTTTAGGAACTCGAACCTGCAGCTTATCTACTTCCAACTATGGCTTCACAAATAGAAACACATTATTTTTGCTTTTTATGTGCTCAAATCACTACTTTTTTAGTCCTGCAGTTTCTGAGACAGGGCTTGACAAACCATTTACCGTTGCGACTAGAATGGCAGTTTGTCGCCCAAACAACATCATTTTCCTACATAACAGCCGTTTTGTTATAGGGCGTGCTTGCTACAGCAGGATTCCCGCGCGGAAGCGACAGTCCCTTTGCGTCCTTTAATAGGCCGCCATCCCTCTCGCACGAAGCGACGTCGCGTGAGGTTGCCAATCGCGGCGATTTCTCGCCGACCGTGACTCCTGACCGTCCCCCACGTAACGAGCGCCCCCCCCCCCTCATTTCGCTTAGGCTGCCAAACGGAATGTTTGTAGGGAGATTCTCATCAATCTTGTACAGAAACGAATAGTTTTCGCAACCGGACTACCTAGAAAGTCGATAAATAGCAGTGATTTCAATGAGTCAATAACCGAGAGTCATGTAAGGTTTGCTCTTAAGCTTGGCACTTGCGCTAATGCGATTCTTTTTCTAGTCCAATTCATCGATCACTTCACAGTCCAGTCAAAGAACTGTCAACCGTTGTGCAGCAGTAACTGGAGATCCCATCCATAAGAGAAGGTGAGGAAATCAATGTTGTACCGGTCTATTTCATCTCCTGTTGTAATCTGTTCGGTTGCTTGAAGAAGACTCTGTTGACTATGTTCCCATCGGCACGAGCGATTCCGCCAAGAAAATGAAGCTGGCCGAAAGGCAAACGAAAGTGTTTAGCGCAAAGTAAAGGAGCTCTTTTTGTTTTTGTTCATATCACGTAGTTTATCTCGGGGATCGCATGCCTTTTCTGGATGAAGAATCACAATCGGCAGTTATTGCTAATCATGGAAAAGAATTTTATCTGAAGTCTTTCCACTCTGCGTGAGTTCGATCATTTTGTGGACAGTATTCGAATTTTTGTGTTCATTTTAAAAGAGTGAAAATATTGCGCCATGTTGAAGAAAAGTCTCCACTATTTTTAAAATCGCTTTGGACAAGAAAGAACAGCCTCGCACTTTGCATTCGCTTCATAGTTGCACATCATTGCTTAAAACGCTATTACATATGTAGATTATATGTAACTTATCTGAAGCTGTTGCCAAGTCTTACTTTTTATTCATAACAGGTTTAGATGCGAATATCAGGCGTTTATTATTATGGTCATTGTTGTTATTGTCATTATTCATTTGTCATTAATTGTCGGGCATTTGTTTTTTTATAAATATTGTAAAACGCATGTGGAAACATTGTTCTCGTCTATGATACGTAAATGTGGTATGGCTCTTCCAACCAGACGCTATACAGGCTGCAGACAGTGCGGCGCGGTCCAATCGCGCATTGAGAGGTAGTGTCCGGAAAATACGTATGTGGGATTTGCTCCATTGGAAATAAACGCCTCGGACACATCCTTACAGAATGCGAAGTCAAAACGGTAGAGTGGAGTTTTGACTTCGCATTCTGCAAGGATGTGTCCGAGGCATCTATTTCCAATGGAGTTAAAGGCAGTGGCTCGGGAAAATCGCGACCGGGCGCTTTTCACAACTTGGTTTTCCGGACCAGCTGAGTCAGGTACTGTGCTCAAAATGTCAGAAAAAGATTTTTTTTAGAGTTTACCGGCCTTGCAGATTGCTGGAGAGGCGGGGCGAGGGATTTCCGCCGTAATTAGGAAGTGACCGCAGGACGCTGTAACTTTACCTATTTTGGCGGCAGTTGGTTGATTGGCCCATGCAATCAACACGATACAGCTGACGAGACCTCGCCCCGCCTCTCCAGCAATCTCCAAGGTCGGAAAACGCCCAAAAAGCACTTTTTCGACTTTTCAAGCACAGTTTTTGTCCCAGCTGCTCCAGAAGGCCATGTAGCTGTGAAAATCCCCCATTCGCGGTTTTCCCGAGCAACTGCCTTCGAAATCCACATACGTAACTTTGCCCGGAAGTTACCTCTGTCCAATTTGTGTCTAGCAACCCTAAATTTACAGGTATCGAAAATATTATTCAAGCATCATTTGTTCTCACCAGATTCTGAAGAAGCTCGCCTTTTGTTGCGATACACTTTCGTTTTGAAGGCGAAGAAGACCCGAATTATTCACGTTTTCCTCTGAGGTTTCCCAATGTTTTTTTTGTAAAATCACATAGAATTTAGACTAGAATATGGGTTCACCCTTCAGAAATACATGACACCTAATAAAGCATCGCTACCTGTATGCAATTAAGAAATGTTTTGAGTTAACATGAGTGCGGTATTTGATCTACTATCGTGTTGGCAGAGCTCTAGCCCACCACCACTCTCTTTATTGATTTGAATCCGTCGTTTACGATTTTTCCTTTGCTTCAGTTGTAGTTTCAAGCTCCTTCCACTTCAAACTTGTAACGAGTGCGGTATTTAATCTACTATTGTGATGTCATGGATCCTCGCAATTGGTAGAGCTCCAGCCCGCAACTACTCTATTGATTTGAATCCGTTGTTCACGTTTTTTCCTTTCCTTTAGTGGATTTTCAAGCTCCTTCCACTTCAAAATTACACTTGTGCAAGTGGTGATTTTTTTCCCTTGAAATCGTTCATCACCTTATGGCTAAATTCGCAATAAACCTTTGCGGCGGTTTGACGATTAACTCATGGTTACGATTTGGAACTCTTGCATCTCACTTGTAGGAAAAGAATGTTTTTCCCGCACTTCGGAAAAAATTCTGAGTTTTTTCTTTTTCAGCGATGCCCCCAATTAATCAGCGTGATTGTCTGCATCTGTTAGCATATCAGGACGAAAATTTTGATCTAACCCTCTCCTTTTTTGATTGAAAAGTAATTTGAAATTGAACGGTGATCATTTTGCTGCAGTGAAATCTTCGTATTCGCGACTAAGTCTGCCCTAGATTTATGCGGCATTGTTTAGGTATTGAAAAGGACTGCCTACGGCGAAATCTCTACATATTCTCTTATGATATCTTGGAGGAACAGAGGTGCGTCGAGATTTCACACTGAGATCATGTGTAACTGCTAATGAATTACTGGAAGAGAGCATTTTCAAATACGTCTCGATATTTTGAATTAGTCTCTACTGAACAAAATACTCACCCCCTCTCCTCTCTTTCACCTTTTGATTAACTCACAAAGAAAGTCATCTACATCATGCTAATGCTTTCTCTGGAATTTAATCATCGATGTCTCAGCCTAACTGCTGCTCCTTATATTCTTCCTTTGTTCTTTTTCTGTTCATGTCATCTAAGTTTATGCTTTTAATGAGGTTCGCCTCCCTACTAACACTGGGTAAATGAGTACGAAAATTTTGAAGCAAAAATTGACTGGTACATTTTTGCATAAGGCAAAATATCTTGCTCGAGCGCTCTGACTGTGAAAAAAAGCATTTAAGAATTTATGAGATGATTTCAACAGTTTGATATAATATCGTAGAAAACTCTAGAACGTCCACAAAGAGCTATGATGCAATGTTATCTTTATCCAGATGACTAGCTTCCACTTGGGAATGGTAGCTGAAAACGGTTGAGTTGTAAAGCTAAGCTATTTTGTCCCAGGATGTGCTTGGCAGAAAGTTAGCATTGGTGAGCCGTACTTGATCTTTACGTTCGTTTACCTCCTTCTAACAGAATATTTTTGGAGATAATGCTATAAATAATGAAATCAATAAAATCAAAGAAAATGCGTTACAGGCAACGAATGAATCTTGGCAAAGTAGCGATTACAGGTTGCCAAGGCTTCTGGTAGTAGAGAAATTTTCAAAGCTTTTTTGTTAACCACTAAACGTTGGCTTCCAGGCTTGATACATACCTGGCGTCGGGTGTCTATACGTAGGCGGTGGCAGCAACGTATTTAATGTGTATCGATTGCAGCGGAGTGACGCTGCTGCCTCACGCTGCAGCAGCTAACGCAAAAGGTACAGTCGAGTAGATTTCCTGCTTAATATAGTGTCCCTGCAGACGCGACAACGCTGGGACGTCAATAAATGCCTTGCGAGTTCCCGAGCTAGTGTTTTCCAGTGTTTTCCTTGCTTATTTCATGCTTTTTAGATGATTCGTTGCTAATAAAGAGGAAAAAGGTAAGTTAAAGAGTAGTTTCTGTTTTCTGAGAAGTTCTATCATCGCATATTCACAGATATCCACGTGGGAGCATTTCGCGTCAGCTTCTTGTCTATTTTTTTTTGTCATTTCCTTTTCTTTTGTCACTTCTTCTTTCAAACCTCCTCCTTCTTGTGAGGCGTTTCTTTGAACGCTACTTGGCTTGTCCTGCTGCAACTTCAACTTTCATCCACAAGAAATAGCATTCTAATTAAGTACTTCATGTGATAAAGACAATTAGTCATTCGTAGAAATCCACTAGCATTCAAAGAAGTACCTCACAAGAAGAAAGAGATGTGAAGTGACAAAAAAATAGGCAAGAAGCTGATGCGAACTGCTTCCATGTGGATATCTGGGAATATGCGATGATAGAACTTCTCAGAAAACAGAAACTACTCTCTAACTTACTCTTTTCTTCTTTATCAGCGACGAATCACCTAAAAAGCACAGAATAAGCAAAGAAAACACTGGAAAACACTAGCTCGGGAACTCGTCAGGCAATTATTGACGCCCCAGCGTTGTCGCGTCTGCAGGGACACTATATTAAGCAGGAAATCTACTCGACTGTAATGTTCATACCTAGCGACTCATTTTTGAGCAGCGCTGCTCGTGCTGATCAGCGCTGACCAGCGCTGCACTAGATTTTGTAGCTGAGTTACGCTCACTTTTTCTGAGCTTTCTCAGCTGCTTCGAACTGCAAATAGCTGCTTTTGTTTGAATCTATCTATTTTTACCGGTTTTCAAGCTGCAATTAGCGCTTTAAAAGCAAAGTCCGTCTTTCTTGCATGAGCAAGTCATGAATGCGACCTAAAACCACCAAATTAGGATTTTAGAGGCGGATATGGGAGAACATTGAGATGAACTGGGGAAACATACTCCATGACGATGAAGATATGAAGTAATAAGAGTCAACTACAGACTGGCAATAATATAAGAAGCTGATGGTGTAGTCATATAAGATTTCGCCTCCAGTGGACTCCGATCATGTCGTTGCCCGAGGGGAACTCTCATATTGCTGGGACAGCTCGATAAGAACCGAATGGAATCGGTACATTTATGCTCTCCTTCCCCCCCCCGCTTTGCTCGTATGAGGCTACTATCTATTATAAATTTAATTATGAAAAATGAAACATGAAGAACTCCTCATAAAAGTAGAATATAACTCCAGCTCCAGCTAAAAACATGCTAATTCTCTCGTTTTCGACATTATAAAACTTGGCGATAGCGCAGTTATTGTGGGTGATTTTGCACTCAACGAGCACTCAAGAAGCATTCAACTGCAGCGCTGATCAGCCTAAGCAGCGATGCCTTCGCTGCTCGCTGGTTTTGTCCATACCTAAGCAGCGAGGTATGTATCAAACCCCAATGGCCGATAAGCACACTTCTGACAGAGCAGTCAAACTTCACAAAGCAAGATAAACTTCATTACAATAAATGAAGCAAATTCCTGCACATTATTCATGATGATTCTCCACACTCCAAAAGGTGCTAAACATACGCACCTTCTTATTCCCTTCAGGAGTTGACTCGTAGGACTTCAAACGACCTTCGCAAAAAAAGGGGAAAATTTTGCAGATCAGTGCAAAATTTACTTTTTACAGCGCATAGAACTGCATGACAGCACAGTCGGTGAAATTTCATCTCACAATACAGCCAGTAATCACTAAGATCAGTGCAGAGCTAGCAGAGGTGATGGTAACAGAGACACTCAAAATGCTTGTAAATACATTAGTTCTTATTAGGATTCTGATGTAAAGTTGTCTTCTTGCTGATGCTAAGACCCGTATGCACGTACATCCCCGCGGGGAGGGGAGGGGATCTGAGAGGAGAAGCGCGTCATATCTCGCTAGTTTTTATATCTTTCTTCGTTTTTCTCCGTCTTGCTTTTGAAGGTTCTCATACACTGATACCTGCGCATAAAGGATGCCAGGTTACTGTCATACAAGATTAGATATTCAATATTACGTCTGATCCCCTGCGGATCCCCAGGGGATCACCTTACATTTTCAAAGTCCTTCATTCTGGGGAAATACTACAGCAGTGCTAAACATGCTTGTGGTAGAAATGAGTAAAATCTCAAGATATCAAAAATTTCGATGAACCGCTGCTCGCGAGCCAGGGATTATTGAAAAAATCAAAACCTTCAGATTCCATTTCTTCTGTCGAGAACATGCTCAGCAGTATTGTAGTATAGTCCTCAGTGCAATTTAGAGCATTTTCATTGGGTTTTCAGGAAGATAAATGACTTTGAAAATGTGAGGTGACCCCCTGGGATCCCCAGGGGATCAGACAAAATATTGAATATCAAATCTATAATGGTAGTAACCTATCATCCGTTGTGCGTAAGTATCAGTGTATGAGAAACTTCATAAGCAAGATAGAGAAAGAAGGAAAAGATATGTAGACTAGCGAGATATGACGCTTTCCCTCTCAGATCCCCTCCCCTCCACGCGGTGTACGTGCATACGAGCCTAAGAGAGGACGGTCATATCTCGCTACTATAGATATCTCTCTTCTTCTTTCTTAATCTTGGCTATGAAGGTTTTCGTACCGTTTGATCTACGTGCATATCACTTCCATCGCCATGCAGGAGTTGACCGGCAAAATGTTAACGAACCACATGTGCAATTTTTTGGGCACATGGAATGAAACTGAGGCAGTGGCTCGGTAAATTGCTGGATTTTTCAGCACTCCCTTTCCTTCTGGATGCGCTGACGAGGATTATTAAAATCCCTCCAAGTCATCAGAAAGTGACTTTATGGCGTTTTCCGGCCTTGAAGATTGCCGAAGGGGCTGAGAGCAGTTGGGGCCAATCGGCCAGTTGCCGCCAAGATGGGTGAAGTGGCTCCACTCATACATTCTGCAGCCAGTTGATGTGTTTTCGGCGGCAGTGTCCCAGAGCCTCCAACATTTCTTCAAGATAGGAAACGCCACAAAAACAACTTTTTGACAGACTTGGACCCAGCACATCCATAAGAGCAAGGAAAGACGAAAGCTCGCGTCCGCACTTTGCCGAGCCACTGCCTTCAAACACTTTCGAATGCCCTGCAGCACTGAAGGAACTCTATCACATTGATGATCACTCAGACATTGTCCGATGCAAAAAGCATCGAGCACACGGAGATGTGCACTAGACCCACTATAAAGTCTAACATAGGTTCCTAGCCATTGCACTACTGCCTGGAATACAACCGAGGAGTAAAACACATTGGGTAACAAAAATTGCCATACTGTTAACCAAGCTGTATTTGACAACAAGGCAGAACTGAGGAACAACACAAATGTTTGTGCTAATAATACCATTTACAGTCAAGTTGTATGTTACAGCAATGCATAGTGGGCGCTCGCAGCGGCTCTGATTGATAAGATCGTAAGATGCCGCGCATGGTGTGCCATTGCACATCGAGGAACATATTACCTGCCTTGCTAAATTCCACTAAATACAGCTGACAGCCAAAGCTGAAGCATACCACAAAACATGTATATGCACACAAAGCAATAGCGAACACAAGTATACGAACACAAAAGCATATATATACTAGTAAGCAAAGCGATACACAATAAAGCCAATACAAAACGAACCACAAACTATAGCACAGAAATTTTCACTCTATACTCACCGAGTCAGTGAAATCGATGAGCAAGTATGGAACCATCAAAGTGGAACATGACGGCTCTGAGATTTAACGCATATGCAGCATGTCTACCATCAGGGAAGGCAGAGTTGAATTGCTTGAAGCACTAGCCTAATCATCTTCTCTAAGCGGAATATCTGGAATTTTAGTTGATGTCATTATGGAAGTCACCTTGAACGTGCACCATGTGAATTCAGCTATGATGTCCAGGTAGATTCCGGACAAATGAATTTCTCATTAGGAGTTGATGAGAATGGGGAGGGAGAGGGGTTACTGAAGATAGTGTTTGAGCAAAATCTGGACCTACGGATTTTTGCTTACAATGTAGCAGACTTTCTGATTAATCTTGTGCTTGCGATGCAGTAAAAGCGAGTGAACACATAGCCGTGCAAGGGGTGGAGTACTGTATGTCGCCGAATGTGAGAGGGTACCGGGTGGATTTCTTCCAGGGCAGCGTGCGCGTACCTTCATCATTGTAAACCCTTCGCTTCATGCGCTCCGCGGCTGATAAAACCGCGCACGCGCTCCTAGATTCCGCGCCTTCGTCCTGATGTAGCCTATACATGGGCCTAAGCATCCCGCAAAAGTTTGGGTTTGGACTGAAGACGCAAAGCCTTCTAAGCCTCACGCCATATTGATCCGCTTCATACACTTCGCTATCGGTCAAATCAGCGATTGACCAATAGCAACGTGGATGAAGTGGATCAAGTGACTAAACTGCCGTAATCAAGGGCGTTCTTATTTTCATCATTGCCCTGGAAAACGTCGTCGCAAGCCGCAAATCATTCCTCTCGCTTTGTGGTAGGGAACTATATGTCCCCGATAAGGTCCACCCCGCGGGTAGCTGGCACAAATATGTATGCCTGTAATGTGTGGAACTGCGCGCTCTGTCGCAGATGTCCGCCTGGGACCACCCCCTTTTGGCCCCTTTCGGCGACATACAGTCCTACATCCCCTGCTTTCCTCAGACAAAAGCCGTCGCAGGGTGTTAAGAAACTTTGCGTAGTGGGGGGGGGGGGGAATGCTAATCACGAATGTACTAATTCCACGCAGTAGGATCTGTACTTACTATATACTGTATTTATTACCATTTCCGTTGAATGGTAGATCAAAGCGACACCCTAATACGATGCTAAATTACTACTGAGATTCGGATCCGAAGGGAATTTGAAAATCTACAGCGACGGTTTCCCAACAAGGACAATATTACCTCGGCTATGGATCTTCAAAACAACCATTCCTCCCCCCCCCCCTCTTGCATGCTGTTAACTGCTTTAAAGCGCAGACTTACTGTCCAGATCAAACTCGCTACCGGGCTGTGCATGTTCTCTCGCTTTGATCTCCAGCCACTGATTGAATGTGAGCTTTTGATCTGAAACTTCATATCAATGAAATGAATAAGAATTCAAAATCAGGAAGAACATACCTCCGTACTTTCCCGATGTCATATCGGAAAGGTAAAAGCAATAACGGTAGCGATCATCTTCCACATCAACTGTGATGTTCTGCGACAAAGCAGTATTGTATGAGGAGAAGCTTGTGTCCATTCCTGGGACATTGACATCGCCAAGCTTAAAGCACGTGATCACTTTTTGAAGAATAAAGGGATTGATAAAATTCTTATATTGAGTTGTTTGAAAAGTTCTACCCCTTGCTAGTTCTTGAGGCAATCTTATTGCTCAAATAATAAGTATGTATAACTTTACCAAAGACTTCCTATTCGTCATACAATTTGTTACGTATACAATGTACAATGTTAACTTCGAGAAAAGTTAGAGTAAACAAAGTAGAATTCAGAAAACGAGTAAAATTTTGCAAACAACCCGATACCTCCTCTTCGGCGGACATCCAGGGAGTGTTGCTGCTTCTGACTTCATCGGACCAGGTAATGTTGCTCCTGGCATCTTCTTCGATAGGCCAAAGAGTGTTACAGATCCTGTCGACCCTGTTTTCATCAACAGACCACGGATTGTTACTGGACCTCTCATCATCTTCATAGATAGGCCAGAGAGTGTTACTGGTCCTGATGCTTTCTTCATCTTCATCGAAAGGGTTACAGTCGTCACCGCTCTTGACGGCTTCATCGTCATGGGTAGGCCAGGCAGGGTTGCTGCTGTCCAAATCGGCATCGAGTAAGTTAACATCGTTGTTCAAATCGGCTTTTCTCTCCGAAGATGCAACCGGGTTTCCATCGTTTGCACTTTCTCCGGCAGCGTTGTCAATCCCATTTTTGTCGGATGGCTCATCAACGTTTTTGCGATTCTCGTTCTCAGCGGATTTCTCCATAGCGCTGTTGCTTTTGTTGCTTTTCTCGTTTTCGTCGGTTGCTCCGGAATGGCTGATGCTTCCCACTCCTTCATCAGTCAAATCGATGGTGCTATTCAATTCAATAGTGTCATTGTTTCTTGCATCGTCACACACTACAGCGGCCTCGCTTCGAGTGTCAAAATTCGAGTCTCTGATCCATTGTTCCACAAGATTAGGCGCACCTTCTTCGTCCCACGATGTACTACCTCCCTCCAAAATACTTTCCCTGAAGAAAACAAGATAGAATATCCTAAGCTTGCTTATTTATAACACTACGTCGCTCCTATCTCAGGCATTCGCGGTTATGTCCCGCAAGAGTCCGCTCACAAAATTAAAATCGCGGAACGGTAGTCTTGCTCAAAACCCGATTTTGTCCCGCCCTTACAACCGGGATGATGAAATAGCGTGATATGGCCCAAAGTTCGGGACAAAATCGGGCTTCGAGACTACTGATATTCGTAGCCACATCATATTCAAGAAGCCGATACTGGAGTAGGGGACAATATGCAGTTGCTGAGCTCCACTCGCTCGGGCAGCGACACAAGCCGCAATCACAAGGGTGCGTATTTGTTGCAGATGTTCTCGTCAGACCTCCATCTTTGGCGACATGATATCTGTTCTCTACGTCTGATACGTAGTGGCTTGGTTCCACTGGGCCATTGCATGAATTTTGTTTTTGAATGCCGTTTCCAACAGCAAATGATTAAATCCAGACCAAAATTATATTGATTGTCATGAGGCTGCGAGATCCAGATAAAGTAAGGAGGGTAAAGGATATGTTGCCATAAAAGGAGATCACGCAGATGTCTGCAACAGGTACGCACCACTTACAAAGTATGTAATTAGCTGCAGCTCGTGCCAGCTGTCTGCGAAAAGTGGAGCCTGTTGGCGGCATATCGTCCTTCACCCAAGGGGCAAACTCCAGTATGAAGCAAATTAATTCGAGGGTCGATGGCGTGAACCTCACGTTGATGCAAGATAAGCTTTTCTTGAGACATCAGACATTTCTGACACAGACTCATTTTTAGACATGTTTGCTGAGTAAAAAAGCTGAGAAGAGTAGTGTTTTTGCAACCACTGGTCAATAGTTTTGGAATGTGAATGTGTCTCCACACCGAAACATCGAAACAAAGCATTTGCCAATGTCCAGCTGGAGATTATCCTTTCAGCTGATCCTCACGGTTACATGAATCACAAAACAATTTCTCAAGTAAAGGTTGAACAAGCTCGACCTCTTTACCTTTTGGGTATACAAAGCATTGGCCCCGAGCATACACCGAAACTCCAATTATAAGTCATCGTGAACACATTATGAATCAGAAAATAGAGCATTTTATTGATACACGAAAGTTGAACACATTATGCACTTGAACTCTGTGAGTTTCGGGTTAGACATTTGGCAAATTGCCAGACGGCGTGACGATTGAAATCACCTGAAGTATGCCCGGGCCTTTAGGCGAAAGGTATCTCGCGCGAATTCCTTCGCAGTGATTGGTCGAAGCTCAAGCGCATTTCATAAGCTCAGGACATGGTCCGTGTTATAACCTTGCAAAAATCAAGCATATTATGTATATGAAGTTGTGCACGGATTTCCAAGAGCATCTGCCAATTCTCTAGATCGCGCGGGGACTGAAAACTCACAGAGGTATGCCCAATCCAATTGAATCATTCTCGAGAAACAAATCATACTCATGTCAAAAACGAAACCATTTCTTTGCCATCATCGAGATTCGTGGTCATCATTCATCCAAGATCTATGCTCGTGAGCAGGCTCAGGCTGCGCTCATGCTGATGCCGAAGTCCGGGAACAGTTCCAGCCCAGCGTTCATTTCAGGCGCTGGAACCGTTCTCGGACTTCCAGATCAGTATGAACGCACCCAAGGAAAAAGGAGGTGCGGAAGCGATAACCAGTGATCAACTGACAAAATCGTAAATTAGCTAGTTCCTAACAAGAAATATTACCTCAGACGTGGTGCCGGTGCTGCATTAGGCAAAGCCGCCGCTCTTACCATCCAATCAGGACGGAAATCCCTAAATCACGAATAATTCGTGATAACTGATAGGAAGCATGTACCTAGAAGAGAAGGGGAAAGTGCAATCGATCAAATGCTTTCTGTCGCCACAATTGCTGCTCTGAAACGCTGTGGGACCTAAAACGCGCGCGAGTGCTGTGATCTATGCAACATGCAGAACGCATATGATGAGATGTGAGGCTATCGATTTCAACTCATAGACGCAAAGCGCGGGATAATGAATTCGGATCGTCTGTTGTTTCACTTTTGACGCAGTTTTTCTTGGTGTGCACTATCACTTGGACTAGACAAGGGTGTTGTTGTTGTTTTCGTTGCAATGACATGCAAGCATCAATACTGATCACGGTCTTCTGTTAGGAGATTCTTACCTCGGTGCAGGTCTTTCGTATACATTTCTGTATTGAACTGCAGAGTAATTGCGAGTCTAAATCAAACGGAAATTGAAGGAAAGAAAGCACAGAATTGCGGGAAAGAAAGATCAGCAGTTATCTTGATTTGTATGATGGTGCTACTGTTAAGGATATGTTGTCCTCACGCGAAAATGTGTAGTGGCTGTTCCAGGCCTATTCATCTGTGATGGCATCGTTTGTGGATGGGTGTCCTGCGCTGTTGGAGCTTCAAGTTGTGGACGTCGGTCTGTAACTTCACCTAGTATTGTCGTCAGATGTCCAATATTGTTGCCAACCTTCTGGACCAGCCGAGGTTAAGTTATTATCATTCATTTTCAAGGGAGCTGTTAGCACTGAAAAGTCATATATATAACAAATAAGAGGTCAGAAGTTGCGATAGAGCTCCTGTCAGGGTAAGACGCCGTATCTTTTAGAGCGAGTTGATGAGTCCAGGAATCGTAAGACGTTCTATATAAGCTATGCATAGTTTTGCTGCTTGTTTTCCCCCATTTTGTCCATCAACATGAATTAACAAATGTTGAAGAATTAACTGTGTCATCAGGCAGTTCAACAATGCTGGAAGCTTTTTCTAACTTGCCATGCTAGCTTACAGATCTTTAGATTTTCTTCCACTTAATGATCACATTCGCTCATATTTGGCCGAGAGATGTTATAAAATAATTAAAAAGGCAAGGACTTACCAACTGACTGCGACCACAACGTGTCGAACTTCAAAACTGAATGGTGAAAATCCAGCTTGAACTCGGCGCCGTGCACCGCGCGCATTCGCCTTGGGGCACGTCAGTGCTTGATTGTCATATATTTCCGAGTTTGATCTAGCACAAGTATTCGTAACTCGCTAAATTTTTTGCAGTCATTGCGAGTACCTTGGGAAAGGTTAAAGACAGCTTCCAGACAAATCTGGATCTATGGGGATTTTACGTGCATAGTAATTTTGGGCCCTAACTAAGCCACTGCCCAACCGGCAGCTCAGGTAGTGCCATAACCGCCGAGATATTCCCCTCGAAACTGGACCTCACGATCGTGTTTCGCATGAATTCATGGCGCAACGTGTGGGTCCTCGCGCGAAATTGATGGATTGCGATATGAATCCATGCGAATACGATCCTGGGCTCCAGTTCGAGGGGAACATCTCAGCCATTATGGCACTACCTGAGCTGCCGGTTGGGCAGTGACTTAGTTAGGGCCCCAAAATTACTACGCACGTGAGCTCCCCATATGTCCAAGATTTGGTTAGACGTTGCCTTCAAGTACCCTCTGTCTCAGTGAGTGTCCCCGTCTCCCTTGGTTCCGGTCCCGCGCGTTCGCCTCCTGCTTGCGTCGCGTTTGCTGGCGCATTCTTTGAGAAATTTTCCTCGCACTCCTCAGTCGCTACGGGAGTGAGAAAATGCGCGTAAAATATGTCTGCGAGCGGGCGCAAGGCTCTGAGGCCTCCGCGTAAGACCGGAGCCGCACGAGCCGGAGACACTGTCAATGAGTCAGGATTTATTAGAGTTACAGCTGAAGAAAGCTTCATAAATGTGCCTGGATATCGTTCGTTTGAATTCTGTGACATTACTGCAGTTCAGCATCTAGTTGCAAAAGTTCCCTGAATGACCTCAGTTGCGTATTTGCATAGACCATAAATATCCTTGGATGTTTGACCAAGTTAAGCGTCCATTGCTGAGGCTGGTCTGCTTTTACAGGGTTTAAGTCTATGTCGCGGTCCTCACGGCGCAAGTCGTCGCGAGCATAGGTGCAATACGGGGAGCAGGGTCCCCTTCAGATTGGAGGGTGTTTTGGCTCTTCCCAACCTTGAAAAGTGAAGGAGTAACTGAGCCCCGAGGTGATCGCTAACGTTAGCTCGGGGTGGAAGGAAAAATACCAGTACAGAGTAATGTGCAGAATTTTTCAATGCTTTGGCTTTGAGAGGTCACAAACAGTCGTTTTTGATGTAGGAAGATTTATGCCTTTTTAATCGATATACCATTCGAAAGCTTCGAACGTATAGAATCAACGTAGACTAGACTGTCTCTTGTTTAGCTTTCCTGAGAGTTCACATACAAGATATTTAACTGCAACACCAGCTAAATTGTGCGATTCAATCTGCCTCCATTATTGAGAAAAAGAGGAAATCTAGAAAAAAGACTTTTTGCACTAGTCTGCTGGCAAAATTTTGATCTGCAACGCAGCGAGATAATTAGGCATCTTTTCCATTCTTTGTATAGAAATTTACTGCAAAAATAAGCATGTTTTTAGATAAGATGCCACGTACCTCTGAGTAGAGAGAGAGGACAAAAAATAGAACTGTCTATGTTCAATCCAATTTTCATGAGCTTTCTGACATTATATATCGTTTATTCGTTGACCGTAACGACTGCTGACCGCGCGGCGACCGCTGCGCGTGCATGATGTTTTCGTAGAAAAGATGAATAGAAAGAAAACAGAGGATTCTTCTCATCTTTATAATGTAGAAAAGAAACAAAGAATTCTTCTCATCTTAAGCCACGGTCCAACTTGTCACTTTTTCGCAAGTTTAGAAGGCACGCGTCGCAGTCGCCACGCGGTCGGCAGTCCGTACGGTCAACGAATGAACGATAGATTACTAAGTGGAGAAGCTTATAGCTCTTAATTATAAGTTGAAGATATCTACTACTAGCTTGCTTCACCCCACCCTCTCTAGTTTGGCTTTCATGGTTCGTCGGAACAAGACTTTTTGGAGCGGGAAAGCTTTGTGCACCAACACTTGATACACCCCTCGATAGCTGGGAATCGACGTAGACTCCTCTTTTTTCTAGCTCCATTTATCTGACTACATTTATCTGACTATGTTAAATAATTACAGTTTGAGCTAGTTTTGTGCAAATTGTTACTTTCAGAAACAAGGAATGTAACTAAAATTTAACAAGGAATGTCTCGGTGGTTCGTAGGCCCTATAGTGGCCTTAGGCGAAATAGCGCCTGGTAGAGTGTGTTGTATAGAACACATAGCTAGTAAGCTTTATTGAGACAGGCGACCTGCACACGTTGGTGCTGTGGTAGAATGCTGTAGATAATAGGCGTGGTATAGTAACATAACAGTTATCACAGCAGGTCATGCTTATGGCATGACCCGTACGGTACTTCAGTGAGGATAAAGATACGGTTATTAAGAAGGTGCCGACAATGGCGGCACACTCCGGCTATCGGGAGAATTGGGAACAGCGAAATAAATTACAAGTACAACATACATTTGTGCGATAATAAGAAGGGGTGCCGCTTATAGCGGCACACTCCGGCCGGGCATGAGAAGAAAAAGAAGAGAATAACCGAACAATTAAGTATTACTTCCTTATCGCATTTTTCATCTGTCAGGATCACGTAGTGGTCGATGTCGTAGTGGATCGATGGTGATTTTGAAGCGGCAATGGGCACAATCGGCGTTGCAGCATGGATGGAGCGATAGACAGAGAAGCAATTGTCTGTGATTATGACATCGTTTTTGGGAGTCCTTCCCCAGCGGCGGGTAGTATACAAGGTTTTGAGCTCCGGTGCTTCGTTTGACGTCTTTGCGTCCGAGATACTGCCACTCGTTTGCCTGCGGCAATCTCGGTATCATGACCTCCATCGTTGGGCGCTCGTTTGCAATGGTTGCTAAGGTACTATCGATGTCTTCTTCACTGTGATTTTTTCCGCTAACGTCATCTTTACTTTTTTCGTCGTTGTCGTTGTCGTGGGTTTTTGCACCGTTACTCATTTTGGGTAAAACGTCTAACTTGTCGTTGTTGTCCCCATCGTTTCTGTTGAGCGCACTTTGTATGTTTGAAATTCCCATGCAATTCATGATCCTTGCGATGGGAAACTTCCTTCCGCTTCCTACTAGCTCTAGCATATCATCTGCCATGCGGTCTTGCAAGAGCCATAAAAATCTTTTAGCATCGAAAATGGTTTCAAAAAATCTTATCTCTTCTTCCAAAGTGTCCCAATCCTCCGCCATTGACTTCTTCGCAGCTTCGGATTCAGCCTCCTCGCATCTTTCCATTAATATGTCATGATCCATTTGTAGCGATTCGATGGCATCTTCAACTTCCATTTTGCACCTCGCTAGTGAGTTCAGATGGTCATGGCATAGATTTTGGCGCATTTGATCATCATCTGGAAGGATAAACTTCTCACCGTGGCACGCGTACTTCTGCAGTAGCTCTGCAAGTTCCATGGTGTGCCGACATTGTCGGCACTTCCTTACAATCGTATCCTTACTCTCACCGAAGTACCGTAAAGGTCATGCCATAAGCATGACCTGCTGTGATACCATTGAGTTATCTTGCTCCGCCTGTTATCGTTAGCATTCTACCATTGCACCCACGTGTGCTAGTCGACTGTTCATAAAGCTTCAACAGCTAATGTGTTCTGTATAACACACATCAAGAGGCGCTATTTCGCCTCAGGCTACTGTAGCCTACTAACCACCGATACATTTGGTGCGTCGGCCAAATTCGAAGGCCGATAAAGTGCTTCGCTTCTGACAGCAGCACTCGACGAACGATGAGGATCTCGACTTTCCTCACAGAAGTAATCAGAACATCTACCAAAGAACTCGCGGAACTAATACAGAAGTACGCGGGCTACGGTGAGATAAAAATTCTTCCAGATGACGATCAAGAGAAGCAAGATCTATGCGCTCAGCATCTGGATTCGCTAGCGAAGTGCAAAATGGAAGTCGAAGAAGCCATTGAATTGCTGCAAATGGATTACGAGATATTGATGGAAAGGATTGAGGAGGTCGAATCCGAAGCTGCGAAGAAGTTAATGAAAGAGGAATGGATTGCATTCAAAAAAGAGATAAGATTTTTCACAACCTTTACTGACGCTAAGAAGTTTTTCTGTGTCCTGCAAGATCGCATGGCAGATGCTGAGATGGAGTTAGCACGACTGGAACGCCAAAGAAGGTTAACCAGCGCAGGGCCTAACAGGGAAGCATCAAAAGTCACCAAATCCCTACAAGATAGCGAAGAAATCCATGTAGGATTGGCCATGGATAAATCAGATGATTTACATGGAGAGATCGAGGAAAAGACAGCTAAAGTCACGTTTGAAGAAGAATTCACTAAATTGGAGCAAAATGCGATGAAGAGTACTATCAACAATGATCAATATCACTTGGAGCAAAAGTCCTTCCCCATTGCTGGTACTCTTTTGCGGGGGCAGGTCATGACACCTACGGTGCCTCGAGCAAAGTTTCCGACAGCTGTTTTTGAAGGCACGGACATAATAGAGGTACAATCAAATCCGACTGCCATACAATCCGAGGAGAATGAAAAGCTCTCCTCCAATTCGTGTTCTTACTACTTCGTATTCCGTTGTTTGTTGCTAGTTCCACTGTCTACAGCCTTTCGCCATCGCCTCCTGTCAAGAGCTCTGGACATCCACACTGCCGACGCGACTCGTTCAACTCACCAAATCCCGCTACGAGATCCAGACAAACGCCACCTCGACAACATCCATTGCAATATTCTGACAAAGGAAGCACTTCGATGTATCTAGTCGTTATATTTATGCTCCATTTCGCTGTTCATTTCCCTCGCTGGCCGGAGTGTGCCGACATTGTCGGCACTTCCTTACAGTCGTATCTTCGCTCTCACCGAAGTACCGTAAAGGTCATGCCATAAGCATGACCTGCTGTGATACCATTGAATTATCTTGCTCCGCCTGTTATCGTTAGCATTCTACCATTGCACTCACGAGTGCACGTCGTCTGTCTCAATAAAGCTAGTACAGCTAATGTGTTCTAATATAACACATCTACCA